ACTCCTGGGAGTGCACGACTCCAGTTGTTGTGCCTACAGGTTCATTGGAACGTGCAAGCCCCCTCACCACGAGAAGGTGACAGTCCATCGAGGGGGAATTCTTAAGATAATATGCATTGAACTATACTGAATTTATCTTCCTTCTGTATCTTCAGCTAGAAAGTTGGTTACATTATGCTACAACTGAATGTCGGCTCCCCCCAACTTTTTAAAGCTCTTTGTTAAGAAACTTTCACAATGAGCAAAACAGTGTTTAAAAGATGTGGGCCTCGATTCTGAATTCCTATCAAAGGAACTCTTTCTAGAATACTTCTGTTGGGGAGAAGGCTGCCGGCAATTGCCTTATCCTTTACAGCAGAGCTTTCCAAACATTTTACATTGCTGATACACCTTTTAGACATTCATCCTTTCCTTCACTGTAATTCAATTTTACTAGCAAACCAGAGGTTAAACCAACCCCTTATAATATTTTCTTACAATATATATATATATAGGTTTCATATAATTTTTACTGTCTTAATGAGATTCAACTCAGCTGAGATATTTTTTTCTTTACACATCCTATGTTCTACAGTTGATTTTATGTAGTTTCTTCTATAACCGCTCCATGTGGTTCATTACTGACATCTTTTCAACAGATTTTACTTTCTTAATTAGAAAAATACTCATTATTGGGATACTTACTACAACTTAATTAACAAATTGTGCAAATTATAAAAGTTACAACACTAATTACACTTGAAGGGCAATAGCACTCCACTTCTGTAGTGATTAAACCTCTGGAGATTTTAAACAGAGGCTGGGTGGCTATCTGGGGGGGGGGGGGGGGGGGGGGGAGGAGAAGTGGAAGGAGGCGGGACCTTGAGCTCGATGTCACCCAGGTGGCCTCTGGCACTTTTGCTTCCACTACTGTTTCCTCTTCTTCCTCCAGCGACAGCCGACATTCTCCATCCAAGCAACTGTCAAGCAGCCCTTGTGTGTGTGTCCGGGGGGGTGGGGGTGGGGGGTGGGGGGATGACATTTTTCCTGCGACACATCTGTGGGCTACAGGCATCATATACTAATGTGTCCAGACACACAGTTTGGAGAGCTCTGCCTTCCAATCCTATGTTGTTGCAGGACAGCTTTGGATGGTTGAGAGGCTCTTCAGATTAATTGCTAGGTAGAAAGAGAAGTTGGTGGAAAATGTTCTTCCCACTTACAGTATATAAGTAGGAGCTTCAGTTATTAGAGTCCCCTGTATGAACAGAAGGTCAACTCAGGATCCAAGTGTTTTTGCAGAATGAGGAAAATAATCTTTACTATTTCTTAGAATCCAAGCCTGTTGCACTTAAGTCATCCCCCCCCCCCTGTGCGTAGTGTAGACCATTGTTTGTTAAAAAGAGGGGGGAAATTGATTCTATTTTTGGTTTCTTCTTAGCTGGTGAATGCTTATGTGATGACAAGTAGAGAACCTCCCTTGAATACTGCTGCTTGTCGACTCCTTTTGGACATCATGCCTGGGCTAGAAACTGCTGTGGTCTTTCAGGAGAAGGTATTAAATGTAGAAAGATACATGTAGTCTCTTCATGCTGAATCTTTCTGTAGTCTTTTCCTTCACTGTTATCAGTTGTTAGTCAAGTCAAGTTAGCTAAGTTTTCATTTTTATTGCTTCTGGAACACAGTTGTACATATGTGTGTGTGTGTATTTGTGTGTGCATACACACACACACAGACATACACACACACATTCCATTATTCATTAGAAAACCATCCTGTTACACTCATCTCTCAACTATATACACTGTTCACAAAGATCATGCTACAAAAATATCTCAAGATGTGGAAATTATCAGAGAACAAGTGGGCTTCAGATGTGGCTAGTCCACCCTCAATTATATCCATGCAATCAAACAGCTGCTGGAAAAAAGAAGAAAATATCGAGTTCTGGTTTGTCTTGCTTTTGTTGATTACCAAAAGGCCTTCAACTCAGCTGAGATAAATGCTATCCTTAACACTTTGCATCAAGCCAGTGTAAATCCAGCATTTGTGAACATTATAAAAAGCATCAATATGGGGTGCACAATGGATATTAAACTGTTGTCAGAGGTGTGTCATATCAGAATAAACGAAGGAGTGCATCAGTGAGACACAAAATCATCAAAACTGTTTGTGGCGACTTTGGAAAACCTCTTCCGAAGCGTTAAATTTAAAGTTGGAATTTCAATTGATGGCAAACAACTTTCTCATCTCCCCTTTGCATGCAATTTCTCCTTTTTGTCAAAAATCCAGAAGATTTACAATATGATCTCCAACAACTAGTGCAACCCTCAAAATCAGTAGGACTGGAAATGAACTTGAAGAAAGCGAAATTGATGAGCAGTGTGTCCTGGGCTGCATCGTTATAAACTGAAATGAAATTGAGGAAGTGACTGAATATGTATATATTTTCAACAAGTACAATTGAATAATTTGACAAATGGCGAATGGGCAAGAAGACGCAAGGCTGCTTGGACAGCTTTTAATTTGTTTTTTGTAGTCTATAATACTTTTTGGGATTCATAATAATAATTTCAAACTAATTGCAGATATTTTTAGCTTACAAACTTTTTTTTTAAATGAAGAAAACCCAAGAAAGAAAATACATGGGCATTTAAAAAACATCATGGGTCAGCATCAATTGAGAAGTTGGGAATACATAGAAATATCCTGGCTTCAGTTGAGTAGGAATCTTTTCTAGTTTTCCATCGCACATTCTGTCTGACAAAAAATTCCATTGCTTGAGTGGATTTACTCTAATTGGGATTGACAGTTGAATTGAGGCCCTGAACTATATGGCCATGATCCAAAGACGCGATAAGTATTTGTATAAATGAGGTTCACATAACCAGAACTTTCTTTTATATCTTTTCTGAAGTGTTTTCTCCTTGGTGGTAAGACCTATCACTGTTCTGTTTACATAATGACTTAGTCTTTACCAGCAGCAAGAATAGAAAATAAAGCTATGGCCAGTGATCGATTTTTTCTGTATATGCATATTATTGTACATTTTTTTTAGTTAACTTATTGGACCTCAGATAATTTGAGATGTGATATTTGATGAAAGAGTGGTATCTATTGTCTGGTTTAAATGCAATGGGGTCCTTATGGAGTCAGCAGAATTGATTTTAGGATTAATGCGGAATGTGGTTTGCATTAAACATTAGATATTGTTCTGCTTGGAAAATACTGATCTACATCTTGGAAAAAATGTGAAAAGAACTGAAGAATTTTCAAAGTCTTGGTAGTTGTCATATTTTATTTATATGACTTGTAATTTGTATAGGTCATGAAAAAGCAGAATTTAAAGTGCCTGATAATAAGTGTTATCATTCATCTAAACAATTTTAGGAAGGCATAGTCGAGAACCTCTTCAAGTGGGCACGAGAGGCGGATCAGCCTTTGAGAACGTATGCAACTGGGTTGCTGGGAGGTGCCATGGAGAACCAAGACATTGCTGCCAACTACAGGGATGAGAATTCTCAATTGGTAATTCCCGTGGCAGATACCATTTCTTGAAAAAAGTGATTGGAATAGAAAACCCTATGCCTTTACTAGCTCCTGCATCACATATTTCTGAAGCCTTAGTACATGTAGTAACCTTTTAGGAAGATTTAATATTTCTGTTGCACGAGCAACTGTGAATATTCGCTCTTTCTTGGTACAGTACATATCAGTTGGTGGGTTTGTTTTTTTTTTGGATTTTTGCTCATGGTTGGAGATCTCAGGGTGACTCTTATATGGCTGGAAATATAGTTGGTGTGGTATGTTAATTTCAACAATAGAATCTATTTAGGTTTTCAGGGTGATGTTTGAATAGTTAAAACATTGAAACAGGGTAATTATTGTTTGGCTCCATGTATCTGGCTTCCTTTTATGAATAATTTCATTAAATTTTTTCTTTAGGGGTACCAAGAATTCTTTTTTTAAAGTTTTAAAATAGATTGGAGATAGGCCATCTAAGCCTGGAGTTCCCCCTAATTTAGTTTCTTTGATAGCCTTCTCAATCTCAATCTCTCTGTATGGCTATTGACTTTTCTAACTGGGCTTTTTGTTCTTCTGTAATTTTTTTCTACTCTCTGATTCTGTAAATAGTGTTCCATTTCTTTTTCCAAATTTTGTTTACTCATTTCCTTTCTATATAGCTCTGTGTAATACTTAACGAAAGTTTCCTTGATCTTTATATAGGCGCTTTCCGTCCCTGACTTCTAATATTTGTTTTTGTCTTCATTTTGTACGCTAGCCATTTTCCTAGTTTATTGGCTAGTATTTTAACTTCCTTTCTAAATCTCATGTTGTGATCCCATCTAGTTCTTTTTGTAGCATTCTTAGTTTCTTATCTAGTTCTAAAATAGGTAGATTTTTTTTTAGTCTCATTTCCTGGCCTGGTGAAAAGTTATATTAGCAATTCCCTGGATTGTTGTCCATTAATTTTTGTCCATGGTTGTTTGCTATTGATGGAATTGAAAGTGATGTGTCCTTTCCTTCTTGTAATAGGTGGCCTTTGTTCTTCAGCGTCTGCGGGAGCTCCAAATCCATGAAATGAATGCAAAACATGAAAACAAGCGGCCCAGTCCTCGAAAAGCACCCTCAGACCCTCTGCTGCCTCTCGATGAGGAGGCTGTGGACATGGATTATGGGGATATCACAGTAGATGGCGAGCAGGAGGACGTGACCAGAGACGTGGACATCTCATTTAACCTTGACTCTAATCACAAGACTAGTAGTCGGGTGAACTCTGCTATGAAAAAATCAGGGAAACAACATGAAAGGGAGAATTTCCGGAAAGCAAAACAAAAACTTGGGTTCTCGACAGAGCCTGATAAGATGTTTGTTGAACTGTCTAATAGCAGCTGGTCTGAAATGTCTCCTTGGGTCATTGGCACAAACTATAATTTATACCCTTTGACTCCTGCTATAGAACAGAGACTAATTCTGCAGTACCTGACTCCCTTAGGGGAGTATCAAGAGGTAGGTATAAAAAGCAGATAGGAATTGGTTGATATATGGCTTCCTGTGATGAAGAAATTCATCACAATTCATTCAGGCTGGGCCATTGTACAAAGACCATGAAAAAGAGAAGGACTGGAATGCAATTCAGATTTTTGAATTTACTGCCCTTTGTGATTTCCTGTTCAGACAAAACGTTCCTGCGTGATAAATAGAACATAGCCATTAGTGTTCACTGTTTGAAAGAAGTACTAGACTGTTTTAAATGGCACAACTTCCTTTTTGTGACCAGACACCATAACCCAAAACTATCAGGAAGGAAATTGCTATCTCAACAGTTAAGAAATAGAAGGTAGTGATGACTTGCAAAGAATACGGATGCTTTCCTTTTTTGTTTTTATAGTATGGGGAAAATAATCACTTTGGAAACAGGCCTGTGATTGGCGACCTTTATATATTGGCCTTTCCTAATTACTGGACCATTCTACCACTGTACTGCTGCCACAATATGTTAACCCCTATTTATATCTTGGGAATGTAGTATTGGGCATAGAGCAACACACACATATTTCAAGTACAAAACTATCTCTTCGCATTCCACAGGGATGCTGCTGGTAGAATCTTCCTCTCCATTCTGGTGATACAGACTTTGCTCACTCTGATTTTTCCTCCAGTAATTTTGGCTCTGTGATTGCTCATTCCGTAGCCCTTTTCTTTTTTCTGGGTTCTTTTGCTTCTTAGACTTGTCCTCAATTCTTCAGCATTCATATAGAGACTTCTCTCCCCTGATTTGTGCACTTCTTTTTGTGTCTTTTAGCAGCTGTCCTGTCCCTACATGTATACACTGAATTTGAAAGCTCACTATCTTAAATGTCATTCTGATATGTAATACTCTATCAGTCTTTTTTTGTGGAGTAATGTATTTGCCCAGTCAGTGTTGCAGAATTTGGATCCTCTTTACCCAAGCTAAAACTTGCCTGATAACCACTACTCTCAAAGTTAAAACTGTGTATCAGTCAAGAATAGTTTCCAAGCTTATATACAGTGTGTATTTCCTAAATTCAATATTTGAAATGCTATTTTTCTATCTCCGTTTAACTGGCAGTACCTGTACACATTTATATAGTCATATCGTTAGGCCATGCATTGGTGTTTTTGTCCAAGGCCCCAATTTTTTTAACAATGAGGAAATCTTTTACTTTTCCCATCAGCTGCTGCCCATCTTTATGCAACTTGGGTCAAGGGAGTTGATGATGTTCTATATTGATTTGAAACGGACCAATGATGTATTGCTCACTTTTGAAGCCCTTAAGGTAAGCAGCGATGCAATGAACTGGTTGTTAGTCACTGATGGTATTGTGCCAATTCTATACTCTTTGTCAGTCACGAAATAATGATGGTCCTGCTTATCTGTTGCATTAACTGGTGCAAAAGTAGCTGTCAGCTTCACATCTGGGATAAAACCCACCTTCCTATGTTATTTTGTCAAACATCAGGGAGTGTGCTTTCTTTGAAATATTTTAGACTGCCCTGGTTCTGCAGTTTATCACACTATAAGTAAACATATCATTAAAAGCAGGTGAACTTGGGTTCAGTTAATTTTGGCTTTACTTTTCCTGTTACTCAGATTCCTCTATGTTCAGATATTGACATTAAAAGTACTTCTTTAAGATAGTAATTGGCAGCTTATAAATAATAAATTTAAAAAGTTATTTATTTCCCTCCCCATCTCCTCAAAGGGACTCAGGGTGGCTCATAACATAAAAAAACAGTATATACAACAACAGTCACAAAATAAATCAAAAAGGCAAATCACAATAATTAAAATAAGACCAATAATAATAATAATAATAATAATAATAATAATAATAATAATATGAAGCAGCAGCAGCTTTATTTATATCCCACCCTCTCTCCCCAAAGGGGCTCGTGGTGGCTTGGACTTGGGGCGGCTTAAATGTCAACTTACGAACATCAATATAAACACTAAACAGTTAAATCATATAAGTGTCATTAAAAACAACAGATATCCTGCTCTTGATGATAAAAGCATTAATACCCAATTTAGAATTTGCCTCAAGCAGCTTCCAGAAGTTTGGCACTGCATCCAGGCCTTCGTCCTGGGAGGTCCATCTCTTTTCTTTGCTCCCCATATATTCCTTGGGTGGCATAATTTTCTGTTTTAACTTCTGTTTCTGTCTCCCAGCCTTAAGTCTGTAGGAGCTGCTGTTCAGAACAAAAAGTGACTGGGTGATAATGGGGAGAAATGGCTGAAAACACCCATTTGTTTAGAGGCATTAATTTCAGGGGAACTGGAACGGATTTAGACATCTCAATGGGAGCCAATCTGCAGACTTCTCTGCTTAAAAGCAAAGTCATTTTTCAAAGTTAATATCTCTTCATTCTTGGAAGAAAGCCTTGTCAGAGTTTCTTAGTGCACCAGGAGAGATGTTAAAATAGGAGTAATGAAATTCTTGAGAATTGTGCTGTAAGTCTAGAATAATATTTCTATGTATTACAGCTACATTCCCAAAATGACAGAGAGGTACTGATGGAAGAAAGTGGGGGGTATAAAATTATTTTCCTTTGAGCTGAAATTGCAAAACGTGGTTGCAACTTTTAGAAGTTCAAAGGTCTGCAAGATGCAAGCGTCTCTGGCCCTGTTTTGGAAGTTTTGTACTTTTTTATGTGAAATTATTAAATGCCAAACAATACTTATTTTTTTCCTTATTTGGTGATAATATTTTGTATGTGTTTAAACTAAAGATGCACATATGTATCCTTGAATACTGTTTTGTCATTCACATGGATGTATTTCTTTCCACAGTATTTGGCATCGTTGTTGCTCCACAACAAGTTTGCAACTGAATTTGTAGCCCATGGAGGAGTACAAAAGCTATTAGAGATACCCCGTCCATCAATGGCAGCTACAGGAGTCTCCATGTGCTTATATTACTTGTCTTATAATCAGGATGCCATGGAAAGGGTAAGAAAAATACTTCTTGCCAAAATAGATTGTAATTATTTAAAAATATTTAAAAATATTTGGAGGTTCCATTAGTAGCAATTTTTTTTTGTCGTGTCAGGAGTTGCTCCTGTTGTGAGAGAATTGGCCGTCTGCAAGGATGTTGCCCAGGGGACACCCGGATGATTTGATATTTTTATCATCCTTGTGGGAGGCTTCTCTCATGTCCCCGCATGAGGAGCTGGTGCTGATAGAGGGAGCTCATCCGCCTCTCCCCGGATTCGAACCTGCGACCTGTCGGTCTTCAATCCTGCTGGCACAGGGCTTTAACCCACTGCGCCACCGGGGGCTCCAGTAGCATATTACTTTATTTGATACATTCATATAGCTTTATTGGGAGGGTTGAAATCAATTTTGTGATAAACTTACACATTAATCACATGTTGGCTCTTATGATGATGCTTTCAATGTGCAGGTGGTTCTTAAACACATCAAATTTTGTTGGTTGTTAGTACGTTATTAGAATTCTCCTTAATTGAAGCCAACATTCTGAAACTAAAATCTGATCATCAGTGAAAAGTATATATTGTTGTGATGTTCCTTCAAGTAATTTATGACTTGTAGCAGCCTTAAGATGACTTTATCATGTGTTTTCTGGATTAAGAGTATGTGATTTGTTCAAGGTTATTCAGTGGATTTCCATGGCTGAGTGGGAGAGAGAATCTTAGTCTCCAGAAGTCGCCCCGAGTCTCTTCAGGGAGATGGGGACATGGTACAAAAATAAAGTTATTATTACTAAGTTTGCAAAATGTAGGTGAGGCAAGTAATGATAGGGCTTTTAAAGGTCTCTATAGTTGAAACTGCAAATGTCTGAATTACTAAATAGTAATCCATTACTAGATATTCATTATAGCAGTCACTGTGAGGATTGGTTGTGAGGAATGGAGGAGAAAGAATTGGGGGATATCTGTGAATGGAAGTGAGGATATTTACTGCAATCTCTTGTTCTGCAGGTATGCATGCATCCCCATGTGTTATCAGATGTCGTGAATTACACCTTGTGGTTGATGGAGTGCTCTCATGCTTCAGGCTGTTGCCATGCTACCATGTTCTTCTCTATCTGTTTCTCATTCCGGGCCGTCTTAGAGCTCTTTGATAGGCATGATGGTTTACGGCGCCTTGTTAACTTGGTAAGTATGGAGTTTGTGTGTGTGTATAAGTGTGAATGTGGGTGTGTGTGTATTTATTGCAATTTTTTTCAGAATTGCTATCTTCCTTTTTTCTTCCAGTGGTAGTAGAATTGGGTTCCACTGGGAGGGCCCAAATTATTATTATTATTTTTACTATTGCTTAGCTACTCTACTTATTTCTAAAAAATGAAGAGAGGAAACAGCATAGAATTGTACATCTTATGAGGCTGTTATTGTCAGCTATGTATTTTTAGATCCCCTCTCCACTGCAAGCCCCAGTGTTTGCAGGGTGGGTGTCTTTTTGCTGGCCTCCACATTTCTACAAAACCCTGCAACATATTTGGAGTGAACCCTTCATTGCTTAGATATGTCATGCATTTATGCTGTCAAGTTTCTTTTAGGAAATTACAAAGATGCTTTCTGTTTTGTTCATTGAACAAGAAGGCACTATCGGTTTCTCCACAAAGACTTTCTAAATGGATCATAGTTACCATTAGGGTATCATATAAACTTTCTGGCAAAATACTTTTTGCACAAATTAAAAGTCATTCAACTAGAGCAATGGTGGTATTGGCTGCCATCCTGCATGTTGTGCCTCTTCCGGATATCTGCAAGACTTGTCTCAACTTTTAACTTTTATTACTCATTAAAGACTAGACACATTATAGACTAGACACAAGGTCTAGTCTATACTATTTAGTAGGGCTGTTCTCTTCTTCTGTGTGGTAGGACACTCCTACCTGCTGTAGTTAGTAGATGTTAGTCTCCCGCTTTCCTGAGTCACAAAGACCTGAAGAAGGATAGATTTCATACCTGTAACTAGTTAGAGTGGTCACCTGTGAATTCACACACCTCCACCCATCCTTCCCTCTGTGAGTCCTGCCATTCCTTGGATTCCTTAGTGGCCGTGGAACTGAGCTTTCAGCTGTTATGTTGGAATTTGCCAGAGCTACTGTCAAAATACTTACATGAGAGCTTTACAAATTTCCAAAAAATGCAGTGCTCAAGCACAGGTAACTCACTTGTGTGAGTTCATACATGACCACTTGAAGAACAGGTAAACTATTTGTTTGTCTTGTAATAATAAAAATGAGCCATTTGTCAAAACTTCTAGTTCCACGGTGGTAAAGCCTTTGTATATGCTCTTACTTAAGAAGACTTGGCCAGCCGCTTTCCTGCTCTTTTTTCTTTTGCTGATTCAATCCTTATGGGTCAGTTACATAATACCTTTTAAGTGACTATTGATCCTTTAACTGCAGGTGAATACGCCATTATTTGTTTTGTGAGTCATTGTGTCAATGTTACGTTTGAAAGGTCTGATTTTATAGCTAACATAGCTTCTCAGTATGCCCAATTCTTGTGTCACAAAATACCTATTTTCTTAATTTTAAAAAGGAATGTTGCGAGTATTTAGATGTTATGGCACAACAGCATCTTTCTCATTTTAGATCAGCACTCTAGATATTCTAAATTTGCAAACTCAAGGTGCTCTCTTAAGTGATGATGAGATCTTTGCTAGCCGTCAGACTGGGAAACACACATGCATGGCCATGCGCAGGTATTTTGAGGCACATCTTGCCATCAAAGTGGAACAAGTGAAGCAGTCACTCCAGCGCACAGAAGGCGGGATTCTGGTTCACCCACAGCCTCCATATAAGGTGAGTTCATGTGCTTTTCTGGAAGAGGATTAACTGCTTGCTTCTGCTGTTCTTGATATATTTTATATCTCCTTGCCCTCATGTTAAGACAGTTGGCCCTCAGCATTTGCAGGTTTGACTTCTGCAGATTTAATTATTTGTGAATTTGGTTAAAATGTTCTCTCTAGAAATCCCCAGGACCTCCTGTGCAACTCTGTGGTCAATTTCTACCAGAAGTTGACCATAAAGACATGCTGGAGGCCAAGGAATTCCTAGAGGTTGTTCTACCAGATAAACAAAAATAACGTTTTTTAAAATTTGCAGTTTTTTCACTGAAAGGTTCATGAAATTTTAGTGCTTTATTGTTGGTGCTAGGGTAAGACGTTTTAAAGCCATTAGGTATTTAGAACTAAGGATTATGATGAGTTGAGAACCTGAATGTAATTGAAAGGGGAAATTGCAGATGAGCAAGTTAAAGAATACATGATAAAGTGGGCACAAATTGGGCACAATATAATGTTGAAACAATGGAAGAAAATGTTGAATAAAGGGTTACAATTCACGTTATAACTTGAAAGAGAATTTCTATAAAATGATGTACTGGTCAAATATAAAACATATTTAAAAAGAGCTCCAATATTTGCTGGAAATGTAAACAAGTGGGGTCTTTTTATCATATGTGGTGGACATGTAAGCATGCCAAGAAATATTAGATTCAAATACATACAGTGATCCAGAAAATTTTAGGGGGAAGCACCCAGCTAAAACTGGAGACTTTTCTACTTTGTCTGACTTATAAAAATAACCAGGATAGACTATGACAATATATGGCTACAGCCAGACTACTATACACACAGAATTGAAAGAGTACAACAATTCCAACAACTGAGGAATGGATAATAAAAATGATGGACTGGGTTGAAATGGACAAATTAACATGCCTACTGAAAAGAGGGACATTGAAAACCTTTTTAAAAGACTGGAAACCTTTTATTCACTTTTTGCATGAAGAAGAGAAAGGCTTGCCAATTCTGAGTTTTGAAGAATAAATTAAAGATTTTTGTTGATGTTATAATATGATAAAAGAGTTAGTATAGAGAGGTCTGGAGGGTGACGCGGGTTATTAGCTTTCTTTGTGCCTAGATTATATCTAGATTTGGATAGACCAGAGGTCTCCTATATCTCTCCCCCCCCCCATTTTTCTTTTTCCCTTTTTTAAAAGAAGGATGTATAAAAAGAGAGGGTGCAGATAATAGCAATGTTACATGGAAATGAAGTGTGTATAAATACAAGCACCAATGGAAACTAAGTGTAAGCAAGATATTGTAAAATTGAAACAATACAAATATTTTTAAAAAATATTTTTATTGGGTTTTTGTTAAAGAAAGTCATGTTTACAGGGAAAGAAGGGGAATATTGTGTAAGTAATAGAAAAGTAGGAAATAGGAAAAATCAGAAGAAAAAAGAGAAAAAATAATAAAAAAATAATCTGTGCTTCCAAGCTCTTCCCAATCTGGGTGTTATTTTCTTCTTATAGGTTCCTTTCTGTAGACTTTTTCTCCTAGAGTCTTATTAGATTATTAATATTCTCTTCTCTTTTTCCATATACTCTCGAAAAAGTTGCCAGTCTGTTTTTCTCAATGGTTTCCCATAATGTGTCTTTAGAAGTTGGGTCAGTTCATCCATGTTCATTATTTCCATAGTTTTCATTTACCATTGTTACTTTGAAACAATACAAATATTGTAATATATATAGAGGGGGGATGACGGGGAATGTTTTTTCACTTCTTATGTGCATCTCTTGACAAAATTAAAACTAATTCAGCACCTTCTTCTCCTTGCAGGCTAGTTCCTATACACATGAACAGATTGTAGAGATGATGGAATTTCTCATAGAATATGGGCCTGGCCAGCTCTATTGGGATCCAGCCGAGGTCTTTCTAAAACTGTCTTGTGTGCAGCTTATGCTCCAGCTTATTTCAATAGCATGCAATTGGAAGACCTACTATGCCAGGTGAGACAATGATCTATCTAAGATAGCTCTTAAAGTTACTGCTCACCTGTTACTGATCATTATTGGAGGCAACAGTCTGAATTATTTTCATGGAAAGTTCTTTTCTTGCCAGAAAATGCTGTTGGGGTGATAGTGTTATTTAGTTAATGTTTGCCTTGAACTTTTCCCAGTCCTTTGAGTTATATGTACTTTTATTATCAGGAATGATACAGTGCGTTATGCTCTGGATGTTCTGGCCATCCTTACTGTGGTTCCGAAAATCCAGTTACAGCTAGCAGAGGCAGTGGACACTGTGGATGAGGGAGGGACTTCTATTTCCATTGTGGGTACGTAGAACCTGCTCTCCTCTTTTTTCTCATCTTCTTTCTTTGTAATTCATGTCACTATTTGCTGAAATCTATATTGGAATTCATGAACTATGTGTGACAAGTCAATGCCTCAAACAAATATTGGATCATCTTTGGCATGTTGATTTGGTTGTTACTGCCAGCTTAGCTATTGTCAGTATATTTTAAGGAAAATCAAAGTGGTAAAAAGTGTTTGTTCATTATTTTGTCACCTACACATACATGCATGCTTAAGTGCATGTTCATATATGCACCTCCTCACTCCACCCTGTTTTTTTCCATTTATTCCTTGCTTCTCTACTTTATCTTCATAATGGCAACAGCTCCTCTGTGTTTTCTTGGGCGCTTATGTTTAAATCTGTGATGTACAGTAGGAACAAAACTGTTCTGGGCTTGCAGCTAGGTCAGTGAATTAATATATTGAGACATCTAATTCTGCTAGATATGGATACCATTCTGGAGGTTGTGATGGGATATGGAATAAGGATACTGGAACTATACTCTAACTTTTGTCTTATGTGGTTGTTTTGTTGGCTTGTTTTTATGATAGGAATATTGAATAAAAATGTTTTCTACAACAGCACTTCATAACCCTATTAATTTTTAAAAATAGATGATCATACAGTTGGAAGAGACTACAGTGGCCATCCAGTCCAACCCGGTCCCATGCAGAAACACATAATTAAACATTCCTGACAGATGGCCATTCAGTCTTCATTTTAAAATCTCCAAAGAAGGAAACTCCATCACACTCTGCAGCAGCGCATTTCACTGTTGAACAGCCAATGCATTGAGTTGGCAGTGGGGTTACTTTCCAGCATGTGCTTATGAATCATATATTGGTAATACAAAAATTAACACAGTTGCTTGTCTGTTCCAAGTGTTTTTCACCATTTTATATTAGGACAGCATGAGGTGCAGCAACAAACACAGCACTCGTTGTATGCTAATGGCTGTGTCTTGCTTCTTACTGTGTGATAGTTTGATGGCCTAATAATTAAATGGAAATGTTTCCTTTTTTGTTAGGTATTAGCATCATCCTGGGACTTGCTGAGGGCGAATTTTTTATTCACGATGCAGAGATCCAGAAGTCAGCTCTGCAGATCATCATCAACTGTGTGTGTGGTCCTGACAATCGCATCTCGAGCATTGGAAAATTCATCTCTGGTACCCCTCGTCGGGCCCTGCCCCAGCCCCCTAGGAGTAGTGAGCACACTTTGGCCAAAATGTGGAATGTGGTGCAATCCAATAATGGCATCAAAGTCCTGCTGTCTTTGCTCTCTGTAAAAATGCCCATTACAGATGCAGACCAGATCCGAGCGCTGGCCTGCAAAGCATTGGTTGGTTTATCCCGGAGTAGCACGGTTCGGCAGATCATCAGCAAGTTGCCCCTGTTCAGCAGTTGCCAGATCCAACAGCTGATGAAGGAGCCTGTGCTTCAGGATAAGCGCAGCGAACATGTGAAGTTCTGCAAATATGCGGCTGAGCTGATTGAGCGTGTCTCAGGAAAGCCCTTGTTGATTGGGACAGACGTCTCCCTGGCTCGGCTACAGAAAGCAGATGTGGTGGCTCAGTCAAGGATCTCATTTCCTGAGAAGGAGCTACTCCTTTTGATCAGGAACCATCTCATCTCTAAAGGGCTTGGAGAAACGGCTACTGTCCTTACAAAAGAAGCAGATCTGCCCATGACAGCAGCGTCACACTCCTCTGCCCTCGCCCCAGTTCCTGCTGCTGCCTCTCCTGTGACTCTGCCTCGAACCCCTCGAATAGCAAATGGCATTTCAGCCCGGTTGACTAACCATCCATCTGTGGGTGCTGGTGCTGCCTCTGTCCATGCTCAGCCAAGGCAGACTACTTGCCAAAGCTCACTTGCACTTCCAGGCCCGTCTCACACCACCAGCACCCCTGTGATTGGCAGGATTAGCTTCATCCGAGAGCGGCCGTCCCCTTGCAATGGCAGGAAGATCCGAGTCCTTCGGCAAAAATCAGACCATGGGGCCTACAGCCAGAGCCCTGCCATTAAAAAGCAGCTGGATAGACACCTTCCTTCCCCTCCCACACTGGATAGCATAATCACAGAGTACCTTAGGGAGCAACATGCACGCTGCAAGAACCCTGTGGCCACTTGCCCCCCCTTTTCCCTTTTTACCCCTCACCAGTGTCCTGAACCAAAACAGAGGCGCCAAGCGCCAACTAACTTTACCTCACGGCTCACCCGCCGGGCAGCATTTCCAAAGTATGGCGGGGTGGATGGTGGATGCTTTGATAGACATCTAATATTCAGCAGGTAAGGAGGATTTTGCCCCAAATTCCTATCATTCTCTTGCCCAAACTCTCTAAATTTGGACTGTGATAACAGGGTACAATCTGAAAGGAGCCCATGATGCCATAGTGACCTCTATGAGAAATTTTGTATGTTACTTTGCATTTTATTGTTCTCTTCAGAGTGTGGAGTTCTTACCAAAATCGTGTCACCCGCAACCAGAACATTGTATTACATTTCTAACAGAACAAAACAAACAAACAGATAAAAAAAAAACCACACACAAATTTTGCAAACTTGGTAGCTGATTAAATGTCCTTTGACCAGTATCTGGCCACTTGGAGTGCCTCTGGTGTTGCCGCAAGAAGGTCCTCCATCGTGCATGTGGCAGGGCTCAGGTTGCATTGCAGCAGGTGGTCAGTGGTTTGCTCTTCTCCACACTCGCATCTCGTGGATTCCACTTTGTAGCCCCATTTCTTAAGATTGGCTCTGCATCTCATGGTGCCAGAGCGCAGTCTATTCAGCACCTTCCAAGTCACCCAGTCTTCTGTGTGCCCCGGGGGGGGGGGGTCTCTCATCTGATATCACCCACGGATTGAGGTGCTGGGTTTGAGCCTGCCATTTTTGAACTCTCGCTTGCTGAGGTGTTCCAGCGAGTGTCTCTGTAGATCTAAGAAAACTATTTCTTGATTTAAGTCGTTGACGTGCTGGCTGATACCCAAACAAGGGATGAGCTGGAGATTTCTCTGCCTTGGTCCTTTCACTATTTGCTGCAACTTCCCAGCGGATGTCAGGTGGTGCAATACCGGCTAAGCAGTGTAATTTCTCCAGTGGTGTAGGGTGCAGCCACCCTGTGATAATGCGGTGATAATGTGATAATTACTAAAATAATTACTAAAACAGCAGAAGCTGTGATTTTCAATGTAGAAGGTGCAGGTATATTTTCAAGTTTCTGCTGTGGCTGGTCATTGCATTGTGTTCCTCTGTTTCATCTCATTGAGTGCTGTGTTTCCTACTTAGCCTCTTCTTTATTTCCCAGGTTCCGTCCAATTTCTGTGTTCCGGGAAGCAAATGAAGATGAAAGTGGCTTCACATGTTGTGCGTTTTCTGCACGGGAGCGATTCTTGATGTTGGGGACCTGCACGGGGCACCTGAAACTCTATAATGTCTTCAGTGGGCAAGAGGAAGCTAGCTATAAGTGCCATAACTCGGCCATCACACACCTTGAGCCATCCAGGGTAAGGAGAGCATCAGGGATATGTTTATTTGGCACATAACATGCTTTTTGTGGGTTCCAGTCTTTTGGAAAAATTGTTAAGGTGCCATGAAAACCAGGAAGCAAAACGAGTGCTATAAGCAAGGATGTAAAATCGGAACTAAAACAAAGCAATGAGTGTTGTTATGTTGTTTGTTTATAAATTAGACATACTTCATGTTCTCTTTTTAGACCATGTTTTAGCATGAAGTTTTTTTAAGCATGAGAGTTGTGATATGAATGTTGGTCAAAGTAGTTTTAGTTATTATTTCCTGTAATTTGTAATAAGTTGCCCAATTTTAGCCTATAAAGCCCTACACGGTTCCGGCCCCACTTACCTCTCCGAACGCATCTCCACCTATGAACCGGCGAGGACGTTAAGATCGTCCGGGGAGGCCCTGCTCTCGGTCCCGCCAGCGTCACAAGCGCGGTTGGCGGGGACGAGAGACAGGGCCTTCTCGGTGGTGGCCCCTCGGCTATGGAATGCCCTACCAGCGGACATCAGGCAGGCCCCTTCGTTGCTGGCGTTTCGGAGGAGGGTTAAGACGTGGCTCTATGAACAGGCGTTCAGATAATTATGCAATTACAACTAACTCAGGAAGACGGCATACTGAACAAGGAACGGTAAAACGACTGTGAGAACGGGATCTGATTCTATTTGAGGCGTTGATGACTATATGTGTGTTGTCTGTGTATGTCTGTTTTATATATTGTCAGTGTTGCACATTTTACTGTAAACCGCATTGAGTCGCCGTCCTAGGCTGATAAATGCGGTATACAAATGGAGTAAATAAATAAATAATAAATAAATCATCTGTGATTACTATAAATATATATTGTGGAAGAGGAACAAAACCAAAACTTGTCAGTGCTAGTCTTAAATCATACTGCTTAGCAGCAGGGGAGAACAATGTGTATGCATTAATGAAAAATAGTGTGTATTTGGACAAAGGGTAGTGCTGACATGGATGTATTTATTCAGAGCTATTTCGAAATGATTTTTCCATGTTCAAAGTAGAAGTGATTGAAAAATTGGATGCAGATGCCAAGAACCAGTTCTTATTTGCTAGGGAAAGGCATTGCTTATTTTCCAGTTTCTACTTCTACTTCTGGCCATAGTGTACCAGTTGTATTATCACCTTTGCTGATTTCAACAGCTGTTGTTAACATTATACTGCAGAGATATATATTCTAATATGTATAATGACTAAACACTTTTGTTTCTGGATATAATTTCTCCTAAATCACAGGATGGCTCTTTATTGCTGACATCTGCTTCATGGAGTCAGCCTCTTTCTGCACTGTGGGGAATGAAGACTGTCTTTGAAACAAAGTACGTATATTCTATGCTGTGTGTTTGTTACCATGAGTTGATCTAGCTATTTTTTTTTTAAAAAAATTATGGATTTCAATTCACTACAGAAAATTATAATGGACAGAAGATAGATAGGTAAAGATTGCACAGTATTCATGGAAGCTGGGTTCTGTCTGCCTCCTGCCAATAACATAGATGCTGTGTGAAGTGAACATGCATTGAATGTTGATACATGAAGGTATGCTGAATGAAAAAAGACTTAACTTTAATGTTTTGCTGTTCACTTAACATTTGGTTCTCGTGTGCAGGCATTCCTTCACGGATGACCACTATGTGGAATTCAGCAAGCATTCTCAGGACAGGGTCATTGGCACAAAGGGCGACATTGCTCATGTAAGTAGCGACTGGGGAATCTCCAAAGCAGTGCAGTTTTATTAAAGTGGTTCCCAAACCATGCTTTGCGGCAGCGTGGAGCAGCTTTCTGGGTGGGAGGCTGCAGCAGGCCCTATAAACTGATTGAAGTGCACATCAAAAATGGCTGTTCTCTATGGTTCGGGAGGGTAGTAGATTCTCCTCCTGGACCCAGTTGTGCTGTGCAAGACTAAAGGGCCTCTAGAGCATCTCCTTCCCATCTTTAAGGTGACAGGTAGAGAAAAGAGAAGGAAGGAAAGCACAATTATTTTGGCAGTATGGCAGTATGGGTGGTTGTCACAGATACCAGCAATCCTACAACAGTGTGGTTCCATAAAATAGGTGCGGCCCGGCATGTTTCTCCATTCCTGCCAAATGGGAGAATATTCAATCAAATATTGTAGGCCAGGAACTCCCCAGATGGTGTTGGGCTACAAAACATCTAGTCTTTCTGGAAATGAAGGGAAACTTAGGGTGCATCTGCATTGCAGAATTAATGCAGTTGACATCACTTTAATTGCCGTGTGCGGTGTTGTGAGATCTTGAGAGTTACTGATTGGTGAGGCAGCAGCACAATTTGGCAGAAAAGGCTGAAGACCACTATAAGACTACAACTCCTGTGATTCCATAGCATAAAGCCACGGCAGTTACAGTGGTGTCAAGCTGCATTAATCCTACAGTGCAGGTACACTCTTAGTCCAACATAGCCCAATTGGGTCAGTTTGAGGAAGGCTGATGTTGAGTGAGATTGCTGGTAAGAGTCTGTTGTGTTCAAATGCTAGCGAAGTGAAGTTTATGGGTTCGTTCCAGACATCATGTAACATAAAGTGACTGCTTTCAGGTTGTGGAATTCCCTTCCATTGAAGGTTTGGTTTGCCTCGTCTCTCCTCTCTGCCAGGAGACAAATGCTTTTTTAATTTGGGTCATAATTCATGTGGCAGAAGGGGCTATTAACGAGTCTTTGGTCTTGTCTGGTTTATTGTGCTTAAACTGCTTTGTATTTTAATAGAATTGTTTAGTATGTTTCTTTAAAAAATGTGTACTAATAGTTTTTAAGTGGTACTTTGTTTTAATTGAATGTAAGCTTCCTTAGTTTCAGTGCCAGGAAAAAATCTGGATATGATTAAAATAAAATAAAAGGGAAAATGTCCTGAGGAGTACACGTTGACTAGGTTCTTGTAGTACTTAAAGATGAACTTGAAATGAATTCAGATGTGATGACAATGTGGTCAGCATTCAGAATGATTAAGTGAAGGAACAAGTTTTGTGAGGCTGGATTAGATATACATTGGCTGATTCATGTGAAATGGTATAAGATGCTTCTTTTCAAAGCATGACGCTAATTACTAAATGTAGCAATGAAATACTTGTGACAGTTGAGAGGGAAAATCCCTGGAATTTCCTTTATTCTGGCACTTAATTTCAGGATAAATGAAGATGAAACAATTGCTTGGGGCCAAAGTTTCCACGAGAGGAATTCTGCTTATGGGGCATTCCTTCTGAAATAGGTGGGAAGAACCAGTCTTTGTCATTTCTCCTGGCAAACTTCTCTTCCTGCTGAAAAACAGCTTTGAAGGGCTGGGCGGAATATATATATAGTTTAAAAAAAAATCTCCCTTCTCCCAGTAGGAGCCTCTACTGCATCTTAGTTACTTCTTTAACAAGAGGAATCCAGAGGGATCCAATTACTGGATCCAACCCATAATTTTTAATAGAAATGATCATAGTCACCAACATGAAAACATGAAAGCATCTCCATTCTGAAGATTTGGTAGAGTCCGCACAGAAGGTGTAAATGTTATGCAGAGTTAATGTCAGGGTCTTTCTCTCTTGATGGAAACAAATATTGTCACAGAGCACCAGATCTATTCAAATTCTTAATTTTCCTTGCCTCTTTGTTGATTTCCCTGTATGTTTGCATTTAAACAAAGTATCATTCTGTGTTGCTTTGCTTTTCCTTCTTTGAGGGAAATCTGATCTCCACTAATCATTTGTGTGATAGCAGGCTCAGAGTATTTATTTTTAGTTTCAGTGAAAGGAAATGAGAATTACAGGAATCTTATAAATGAAAAGAATCTGAAAAAAGGTTAAAAGAACCAAAGTCAACTGCAGTTTCTCAAGTCGCTCCTGACACGACAAAAAAAAAAAAAACAACACCAAAAAACTGCTTAGGGTAGTAATCATTGATCTGGTTCCCAGTTACTTATCTATATGGAAATAATTTTAAAGAAAATGAGTCTATGAAATGCTTTTGGATTTCACTTGTGGGAGTTACAACAAAAGTCCCTGCACAGAAGCAGACTATAGCAGGCCAGATGCTGCACAGAGCTCAAAAGAATATGTATTATAGAGTCTGTCAGCAACTTAAAATAGCCTTCATATTTTTATAGAATGGGATTTTATGGACTAAAGCAAGGGTGGGTATCTTGCTGCCCCCCAGAAGTTGCTGGATTGCGAGTTGCAGCTCTGAGATTCAACAAAACCTGAGGGCTACATGTCAGCATATTAGACTGGAGGGTAGTGTTGCTGAGAAATGTTATGGTCTCTGTACAACAGGCTTGTCAGCCATAGATTGCTTATAAAATATAGTTTACCTTGTCATGTAACAGTTTGTGTGTATACATGCATGCTTCAACCTTTGAAGAAGTTTGGTTAATTTTTGGGGTGAGTGGAGATATTGCGAATGGCTGACCTATAGTGAAAGTGATTTTATTTGAGTCAGGAAAGTAATGGAGCTGTTGTGGCGCCTGGGAATATATTGCCCTTTGCTTTACTTGGTTACTGAGAGTGAAGGATTCCAAACAAGACAGTTCTGGTTAAAACCCTTAAAATTAAAACACAATTGCAAAGTAATCAATTTTCCTACTCCTTCTTAAGCTAATAAATGTATTATACATGTTCCTTAACCTGATTAGAAAAGTGCTAAGTGACTGTCTTTGGAGTGCTGTCAGGAAGGCTATATATGAACTTGCGGCTTCTTTAGAAGGTCAGTGGGCAGGTGGAGATGGCTGCCCACAGAGGCTGAACTGGAAATGTTTATATGTACAATTGATGCAAGCATTCTATAGATCCTGACTAATTAATTTTCCTCCTCTTTTTCAATCGGAAAGATCTATGATATTCAGACTGGCAACAAGCTGTTGACTCTATTTAATCCAGATTTGGCAAACAACTACAAGAAGAATTCTGCCACCTTTAACCCCACAGATGACCTTGTCTTAAATGATGGTGTCCTCTGGGATGTCCGCTCTGCACAGGCTATACATAAGTTCGACAAATTCAATATGACAATTAGTGGTGTTTTTCATCCGAACGGGCTGGAAGTCATAGTCAACACAGAGATTGTATCCTTTCTGCTTTAACTGCCTGGCATGGAAGTCTTAAAGAGCTTGGTGTGAAAAGCCAACAACTGCAGCTTGTGGCAGAATAGTTATTGATGGAGCAGATAAATCAAATTTTGGTAATGCGAGCACTAGATCAATAGGTTCTTTTGGCTGCACATTTTGCAGTGCCATTTCAGTACTCCTACTAAAAAATGAGTTCAGTTTGCATCTTAGAACAGAGATGGTCAATATGTAGGCCAAATTTGATGTTGTGGAAGACCTAAGAGGATGAAAGGTTGGTGGAAGAATGAGAACAATTTTAAGAGATTGTGGACGTCGTGTGGGAAAGCTCTCTGTAGGTGCTCAATTCAGACCTCACTCCCTTTGCAGGCAGCCGGCTGTGCAAAAAGAGAAAATGAAAAGAAAAAAGTAGGGTGACATAAGAACTTTAGAACTTAGAAATATCCTTCTGGAGGTGCAATATGCAGTATTCTATGGGTGAAGTCCAGTGCAGTCTTTCTGCTGTCAAAGCAGGGAAATCTCACTCACTTTTGTATCTTCTTCCTATTTCCAAGCCTCTGCTCCATTAATTTGGTGGATACTCTAAAGCTAATTTCCAAGAGTGCAGGGTTTTGTAAATGAAGGGAAGAAAAGAGCCTCCAGTTGAACAACAAGTAGGCTCTTGCTCAAGCAACTAGGGACCTTTTCTAGATGAATGAAAGGGTAATATGGGTTGTTCTAGGTTTTTTCGGGCTATATGGCCAAGTTCTAGAGGCATTTCTCCTGACGTTTCGCCTGCATCTATGGCAAGCATCCTCAGAGGTAGTGAGGTCTGTTGGAACTAGGAAAAAGGGTTTATATATCTGTGGAATGATGATTGGACTTTTAACTTTAGTTCCTATTTGATAATATCAAACAGGAATGCTCAAATGCTTTGAGCAGAGGACTGGTTCACAGTCCACCAGACTGGACCTGTGTGTGTGTGTTGTTGGGGTGGGGTGAGGTGTTGGACTGTAGTTTTTTTTAAAAAAAGAATGAATTCCCATGCACACTGCACATATCTTATTTGTAGTGCAGAAAGCATGGAAGAACAAAGCAATATTTAAATTGAAGAACAATTTCAACCAACCTAAGCTTTACCAGTATTTGAATGGGAAGTGTGGGCCTGCTTTTAAGTAATGAGAGAGTCAAGTTAATTAAGATTGTTGTTTCTGTGTGCCTTCAAGTCGTTTCAGACTTAGGCCTACCTAAGTCTAAATTTAGGGTGAGGGTCAGGTAAATTACCTTGGAGGGCTGCATTTAGCCAGCGGGCCTTAGTTTGGGGATCCCTGATTTCAAACATGGAATTGGGATGCTCATTTTTCACTGCTGGAAGTAGAACATATTACATACAAGAACTTATGATTGTTTTTACAGCAAGACACCTATTTTTGCTTTGGGATCACCCACTACTAGTATATTTGTTCTGACAGATTGTGGCCCATGACAAATAAAGTTATAGCAAGTAAATTCTAGGATGCCTCATACTAAGTGAAAAATCTGCAGTGCTGTGATATAAGTCCCTGTGAAGGTTACAATTTCTGTATGAAAGGAACAAAACTTTTGAGAAGACCAAAACTGTTAGAAAATATTTCATGCAAATAAAAGCAGAAGCAGACAAACAGTTCATTAGACATGGTTGCCATTATAGTATATTAACATTCACCTGAAATGAAAGTTTCCTTTCATAGACTCTTGAATGGTGAGATTATGTCATAGGGCAACATAAGGATGAGGACAAAGATTTGACAATGAGATCTGAATGGAAGCTAAAAGGCTTTCAGCCATGATCATTCCTCTTTGGTCCTGCTGATATGTGTGTGTTGTGTTCCTTAATGCACTTCCCAGTGGGATTTGCGAACTTTCCATTTGCTACACACAGTACCAGCCTTAGATCAGTGTCGTGTTGTCTTCAATCACACTGGAACAGTTATGTACGGAGGTAAGAGATTTATTAATAAAATGCCTTTTAACATATTTCCTTACCATATCTTTTCATCACTGCTTATGCTGGCAAAGACTGCTGAGAGCGATAGCTCCCCCACCCCCCATCCTCCAGGTTGCAACAGACATAACAATAGCAATTATGTAGCAAAGAAAATCCCCATAAGCAGGATAATAGAAAAGATGGGAAATAAAAATTGGATAAAAGTACTAGGCTTATATAATAAACTTAAACAGGGGAAATATGATGAATGCATAGGTAAAGAAACAAAGATGGAGAAAATACTTAGAAAAGAACAGAAGTCAAAGAGGGAGTTGGCAGGATTAATATACAAATTGATGATCAAAGATAATCAATATATCGTAAGAGCAATCCAAACTAAATGGCAGAAAGAAGGGTCACTTACATGACAAACAACAGAGGAACTAATGGAATTAGGAAAATTAAAATGGAGAAATATAAAGATCTAGAAAGAAAATTCATCTGGAAAATGGTATTGAACCCCAGCTCAATTATCAAATATGGTAACAGGAATAAGCTCAATATGCTGGCATTGTGGATTAAATAAAGTGGTATACCCATGTGTGGCGGAAATTTCCCAATAACCTTTTGAGGGGAAAATAGCAAAGAAAAGGGAAACATTGTTTAAAATACCAATTCAAGTAAACATGGATTTTATGTTAATGGGAATATTTGGGAACAACAAGATTAATGCAAAGAAACAATAATTATTTAAAGCTATGATTTTAGCAGGAAAAGCGATAATAGCACGGGGTTGAAAAGATGAAAAAAAATTGAAAAATGGAATAAGTCTCGACACGGAGTTTCAAAATAGTTGTAAAGTGAATTGAATCCAGATAAAGATTTTAACAATTAACTACTCCCTGACATCTCACAGAAGTGATAGCAGATAGTTTATGGGGGGATATATGTACATCTCATCATATTTGACTGCAGTCTTACCCGGTAAACAGCTGTCTCCTCCTATCTCCTTGCTGTTCTGTTCTCACTTCCAAACTAGTGTTGTATCTTCATGACCTCCTCATTCATCCCTTAAAAAAAACAACACCACCACCTCTTTCTGGGCCTCTTTTTGCCAGTCCTTCATTGCTATGCTATTCAGCTTTCTTTGTCTACAAAACCTCTCCTTGCAGTCTCCTCAATTGATCCATAATTATTCAGAGGATGACTCAAGTGTTTCAAGCTAAAATATATTGGAATGTATATATTGTAGACAATATGACACAACATATTTCATTTTATGAACATGGGATACCAGTCTGACATAAAAGAAATCAGCCTCCTTTGAATATGTAAGCATTTTCCTGTTTAACTGGCCTTCTTTCTTCTAAAAACTATTTACTTATTAATCTCTCCTCCCATCAGCTATGTTACAAGCTGATGATGAAGACGACCTGCTGGAAGAGAGGATGCGAAGCCCCTTTGGATCATCTTTCAGGACATTCAACGCAACAGATTACAAACCAATTGGTAAAGTTTGTGGCTGCATTCATGAGTAGTTACACTGGGGAGAATCTATGCTGGTGCTTTCAAACTTTTTTGGAGGAAATACCCATGTCTCATTGCATGTAATTTTCAGAACTCACGTTTGGTCATGACCATAAAAATGGTTTTTCTTGTGGGCAACAGGAAAAATAAAGAACTGCACCAAATGAACCCAAAAACCTAAAGAAGGCAGTGCCTCTGCATGATGTTCAACAGAGACAATATGCTTGCTCCCCTTTGGTACATTGTTGAGACAAGCCCTGAATGAATCTCCACAATAAGTAAAGGAGGAAACTCTTTACCTCAAATAAAGCGATGTGCTGTAATGCATTGAGCATTCACACATAAACAGTACTGAATTCTGTTTACTCTTGGATTAAAATGTGATGACAGTTACTGATGCTGTTGATTTCTTTTCCAGCCACCATTGATGTAAAAAGGAATATTTTTGACCTCTGTACAGACACGAAAGACTGTTACTTGGCAGTTATTGAGGTAAATGTGATTCTTGTACATGGATTAATAAGAAGGGGTTGCTGCAGGTAAGGTGATGGAGAGCCTGTGTTTTAGCTCAATCTGTTTGTTGGTGGTTCCTGTTTTTAGAACCAAGGAAGTATGGATGCCATGAACATGGACACTGTTTGCAGGCTATATGAAGTGGGCAGGCAGCGATTGGCAGAAGATGAAGAAGATGAAGAGGAAGATCAGGTGAGAAACATGGTGTTGTTGGTTTTTTTTTTTTTGCTATTGCTGGCTAACATTTTAGCCAATTTCTTTTAGAAGTTTGAAATCTTTCAGTCTTTATTATATTACAGTGTATATGTTTTCTGTTTGTTGTAAAAGACTAAAAGTAAGGTTCCTTCCACACTGCCACATAAAAGCCAGATTATCAGCTTTGAACTGGATTATATGGCAGTGTAGACTCAGATAATCCAGTTCAAAGAAGATAATGCAGATTATCTGCTTTAATAATCTGGATTATATGGCAGTGTAGAAGGGGCCTAAATTTAATTTGAGTTCTGATCAGTGTTTGTATTTGTTGAAGTGCTATAGTTTTTTTAAAAAGCCAGGTATTCATTACTAATTACCAATAATAGTATGCTTTGGCATTTAATAATTTATTTCTGCGTGTATGTAATTAAACTGTAACTGTTTAATATAAATGATGTATAGTTAATTACTATGAATTGTATGCAGAATTTCAATGAGAGAAGAGACAATTTAAGATGTTTTTAACCAAAGTTTGTGGGTTCCTGTGACATCCATGCAAGGTCTGTTTCTAACAATTATGAAATCGCTAGACAAGGCTTTGAAGTTGGTCATTGCTTACCAAGGAAAAGAATAAAGACCATCACAGAGTCTTCTGTTCCCTAGTGTATCACTCGTTAACTCATTTTGTCACTGACAGAACTTTCTGATAGTAAAGTATGGGTGTGATTAAAAATAGTTGCGATTGTTGTTTTGGGTTGAAGAAAGTGTATGATTACCTACGGGCTGTTTTTGGAGGGTGTTTTTGCATGTCTGCATTTGGCTACTTTTGAACTGTATCATCCAGTTCTTAATGCTGTGTTATTCTTCTGTATTTTTGTGTCTAGAGTCTGAAAGATAGGTAGTTGAATTCTGAAATCTTGAAATAAAAGCTATCACCGTTTTCTTGGGGAAAGAAACTTTAATATGTTAAGGAAAGTCTGAATGCCTTTCCCTTTTCTTAATTCAAATAGAACAGCTTTACTCTTTGATGGTTTCCAGAAATATTTTCAATTGAGCTGTGTGGCACTTTTTTTTCTTTCTTTTTTTTTTACAAAAATTGTAGCTTTTGATGGGAATTTCTCAGCAACACATAATGCACTTTGTATGTGCTGATTTTTGTGACTTGATCTTACTGGTAACCCTCATGTTGGCTTTTTCCCATCTATAATGGGTATCTTCCTCAGGACCATTTCTGCAGGATTCCCTGTTTGTTTAAGGGATGGACAAATGGCTTTTGTTCCATAGCTTCTCCCAGTTTCTCAGTATTAACATTGTTCTTGGAAACTCTGCTTGCACAAAATATAGAGGTAGAAGATCTAGGCCAGCTTTGATTCTCCTGAGAGCAGGATTGGTGCCAATAGTTTATCACTAGCTGTGCTTATTCCCCATCTTTGCCTGTTGCAGGGATGAATGTGCTTCAAGACTCTCAGGTACACTAATGATGTGGGAGGGAGGGTTCATGTGTGAGTTTCTCTTCACTGCCCTGTAAGATTTGTTGGTCTCTGCTCTTACATAAATTATTGGAATTTCAATTGTCTGCATTTTTGGAATTCCGTGCTTTGTGAGGTCCTCAGAGTCCTTCTCTAGTTAGTTTTGCACTGTAGACCTAAAATGGAAATGAAGAAAGACATCATGAAGGAGAAGTGGCTGTGCATCCTTATCAACACACATACAATAGTCTTTAACTTTGCCACCATGTGTGATTCTTGGTTTGCTCTTTGCATTATCAGGGATAAGAAATTCTCCCAGGGCCATTATTTCTGTCAACTGAAAGGAAGCATCCTTCTGGAAGCATCCTTAGTTTTACCCCATCAGTAAATCCCAGCTGATTAATTGGTTGTTCACTTGATTGGAAAAACAAACAAATAAACAAAATAGCCCTTCTGTAATAGCCTTACTTAGTTGTAAGCCACAGGCCATTTCCTTCCCTGTTTATCCATTTTCTACAGTGGTTGGAATTAAGGGGCCAGGTAGTAAGGACAACTGTCAAGTGCCAGGAACTTGACTGTGTAAGTGTTTCAAGAAGCAGAATGTGGAAGATGAGGTGCTGAATTCCTGGTCCATGCCATAAATCTGTATAGTCTACTCCATCTCCCACTGGTAAGAGCAACTATGTTAGTGCCCAAGATCAATGGGAAATACATGATGCTGTTGTTGCCATCATGCTCTAAATGAGTTGGGTCACAGTGTTGATTGCAATGCTTATGACCATCAGCCTTAGTGGCAGAAGGGGCTATACATGGGTGATGTGGCTTAACCCACTCTGGTTTTCATGTTCTTTCTTTATAGGTTGACCTTAGTCACATTTCAGAACTTCATTAGCTCAAACTTGCATCCCATCGATAGCAGCATAATATCTTATAAGGAATATTTTTCAGCTCTTATCCTTTTCTATAAGACTTTTTAGGACTCCTAGCATGGAAAGGTAGTGCATAATAAACTGTGTAGAGACTGAAATTACTTGTAAGTACAAATATTTGAAAATATTAATATGGATGGCTGAGGTTGTGATCTTGGAACTGTAAGATATTACTTTTTGGAAAGTGCTAATATACCAGCACCAGGTCTTTTTGTATACTCCGTATACACAATTATGGTAACATATTAATTTATTTATTTACAGTATTTATAATCCACCCTTCTCACCCCGCAGGACAGATTACAGTGTACATATACATGGCAAACATTCAATGCCATAGACACACAACATATATAGACAGATAGTCAGAGGCTATTTAACATTACAACTTTTTCATGAGGGTATTCTGGCCACCAGAGGAGCTGTCGCTTCACCATCCATCTGCAATACTGATGAAGTACTTCTTCATTCCCCGCATGCTTGCTGGAGATTTTTATGGCCTTGTAAATTAGTTCCCCACATAAATGGTACCTAAATTTCCTACTTGACAGATACAACTGTCGTTCGGGTTGCAAAGGTCGACAACAAGCTACACAAATTGGTCAGAAGCTCACTCTGACCCAGGCTGGCTTTGAACTCACGACCTTTCAGTCAGTAGTGATCTTAATGCAGCTGACTCCCAGCCAGCTGCACCACAGTCCTGGTTGCATCCAGTTCAACTTCTATTTCTTTTTAAATTGATCAAATTTCCCTGCAGGAAACATTTGGTTTAAGATCTTAACCAGTATATTTCACATAGATTACCTGATCAATGTTCTAATAAATGGAATAGCTTGCCTAAGTTGGGTTGTTACTATACTATATCAGCACCAGTTACATTTTTGTCATAAACGTTTGGTCTCAAAATAAAAACTGTTTGTCCAGGAAGATAAAGATATGAAATTGCCTTACATCGTGTCCCTCTAGCTAGCTCTGTATTGTCCACTTTGATTTGCAGTGGTCTTCCAGTGTCTGGAGTAGATGGATGTTGAAGGCACTCCTTGCTAGGGATGGTATCTCCTGTGTGCAAGGCATGTAATAAAACCTCTTGCACAGATTAAAGAGAATGTGTAGTGCTACATATTGAACATGGAGTATATTAAAACAGTGGAGTGGTTGGAATAAAGTATTTGTAGTTGCTGTAAGTAAGTCGTTAGTGTCTTAGCTAGTTAAAGTTATAGAATGGCAATAACTTTGTTTTGTCTCTTCAATTTGACATCTATGACAAATTGTTTGCTGTGTTCCGTCTATCCATGTCTCCTGGTCTGCATAGAAGCCAATGGTAAGGATTTTGCCTTCTGTGTGCTAATACATCTAGTCAGTTCTGCTTCATGCCTTGGATAACCTGTGGAGAGTTTACATTTACTTGGAGAGGTGGAACCCAGAAGGTAAAGCAAGCTCTATCTGTTGCAGAGGATTATTCCCTGAATCCTTTCTATGAGAATGAAAGATGTTAATGAATTCAGATTTTGTGTGGGGCAAGGGAGAATTTGGGGGTAAGATTTGGAGTAGAAATACACCAGAAGGGAAATGAAAAGAATAGTAGTTTTCCCATGTTAGAAAAGCATTTACTCCATTCAGTGAAGATGAGTTAAGGATATGTGAGCAGCAATTAAAATTAAAATGAAGAATGTGGCTTCATAAAATCTGTCAAATTATTCATTATTCATGGAAAATAAAAACCATTTACTGTATAAGTGAATATGTAAACACTTGTACAAAAGTGTGTCCGTATATATATTTTTGAGGGTAGTTTATCCAAAAATATTATTGAATAAAGTCTGTAGGCTAAATTATTCTTATATCAGCTTTTCTGAAGTAATACCATTTATCATGGAATGAAAATATTATTGAGCATACAAGCTTCTAAACTTGCCTGCAGATCCCTGTTCTCAGTACAGTATGGAAGTATTGGGCACGGGAAATGAAAAATAGCCTTGTTAGTCTGATACAGTGCTATCCTTCCCCCAGAAGTTTTGTTGTATCACATAAAGCAACATGTGTCAAATTCATGGTCCGTGGGGCCAATCTGGCCCACCATGTCATTTTATATGGCCCTCCAGATGCTGGACTACAACTCCTATATTCCTCATCATTAGGCGTCATGACTAGAGCTGATGGGAGTGGTGATAAAGTAACATCCGGAAGGCTGCAGTTTGTTCTGTATAGTCAGGAGAGTAAGGTTTGAATACAAGGGTTGTAGATCTGATGTCTTCTGTTAAAATGTCCTATAACCTTTCCCCAACTTCAGTGTCACAAGTGGGTTACAGTTACCTCAGTCTGCATGGTGGATAATCAAGTGTGATTGGGGTTGTTATTCAATAACATCTGGGGACCAAAAATGGGTAAAAACAAAAGTGCAGCAACCACTATGTAAAAAAAATAGTTTACCCTCTGTATCCACGGATTCTCTGTTCATGGATTCAATAGCCCTTTGAAGGCAACCATAAAGCTGATGTGGCCCTTGGTGAAAATGAGTTTGACACCCCTGACCTAGAGGATCCAGCAATTTCCTAGAGAGCTACATGTGGGTAAATGACATTGCAGATATGGGTTACAGGGTTCTTCATGTATTTTTCAGGTACACATAATGGTTAGTAGAAGAATGGGGGATATGGGTATGTTATGTACACATATCCACATGCTTATGTTCAGAGAAAGGTAGAATTTCTCCATGCCGAGATCGTTGAATTTCATGTGACATTTTAAATTGTACTTCTAAGTGATTTCAAGTATATAATGAAAAATGTAAAGTGCAAATGTGACACCTAAGTATTTGCAAATGCAGAGTCATACAGGTGTAGTTAGTGCGGTCTGCAGGGGACTTAGCTGCAGGTCACATCCAGTGGTTTTGCATGATATGGGAAATGACAGTAAAAATGAACGGATGTATCCTGAAAGCAGAGAATGCTGTGCATGAGTCATTTGAAAGAGATAAATGAGACTTGATATCAAAGAGCCCAGGCACACCCAGCACTGGTAGAATAGGGCTCAGATTGTGTCCCATTATATGTGACAGAACAAAACTACGTTTATACAGATCCAGCCAATTTAGGTTATTATTCAGGTCAGGATAAACGGTTCCATATATGCCAGTGAAATCCAGTTCAGCAGTCTTTCATTCTCTCCAGAGCATAGTGCCCTTGATGTCAACAATAGAATGCCCAAGGATATATAAAAGTGCAGTGTCCCTCTGAACAAATTAACTAAAGTAAACTAAATGAGCAAGTAAATAAAACATAATTGCTTGATCTTCAGGATTTGCTGCTTCTCTAGCATCACGACCTTCAAATGCTGACTTCATATTCTGAGAGTGAGATCATAGACAGTTCATAGGCCCCCCTGTCATTGTTTGCCTTCCAGGATTCATATTTGCTGCTGTGGTAGAACACCCGAGTGCTTGCACTGTTTTACTTAGTGTTAGACTCATTCTGTACAATCAGTACAGTCCATCAACTCCAGAGCTTCTACACATGTTTATAGTTCTCTGGAATTCTCTCTAGATGAAGAATTAGCCATTCTTGTGGGTTAGGACTCCATTAATCCCAAAAGAAACCTTGGAAGGCAGGACCTCCTGCAATGAAAGCCCCTTTCCCCCTTCAATGTTCCAAAACACCCTCAGGGTTGTGGGAGCTAAACTTGCAATGTTTCTTTTTTATTCTCCCATGCCATTTTAGGTTTAAGAGAGAGTTTTTCTACTATTGGAAGTGCCCACTTCCCATTAGAAAAAAACAAAAACAAAACAAAACTCCCAGGCCATGAAAAGCTTGAGGGGCCCCAAGTTGGGGAAAATCCCTCCTATTTTCAGCTGGAGAGTATTTGGGGATGTTTTCAACTTTCAAAATTTAGCATCTACAAAAAACAGCACAGGAGGCAGCATGTGATCTACTAGTTGCATTTCACCATCATTGCCCTAAATGTGCCTATTTAGATATCTATAGGAAAGTCCTCACATTACTTGGGATTGGCCTCAATAATGGCTTGAGATCCATTGATAGCAAGTCCATCTTATTATATCACCTTTATTCTTGAAACAACTTTTTGTACTATATTAGTCAATCTCCATTAAGCAACAGAGAACTAAAAAAAATTCATTTTTTCCAGTAAATTAAAATGCTTTGTCTTCATGGTGTTCTCTCTAATGTGATGTGTCTTTAAGTGAAAAATGAACAATCTGGAGAATGAATACTTAGTTTGAAAAAAGTTTTTGTGCAATTTAGCAAACAATTGCAGTTGGGCCACAACCTTCTGTAAATGTATTGACTGTTGAAGTGCAGTTAGGTGGTATTAAGTTTTATTCATCCGCTCTTGGTCAAAACTGTATGTTTTAGGTGTTGTTAAACAGTTTAGTGTCAGAACTTTTTCATTTTGTGCCTTGTGAAAGCAAAAATGCAGGAATACAGCTGTATTAGGAGACATAAATTTCTCATTTAAATTTGCTTTTCTTTGCAAATGCAATCCTTGATTCTTGTGTTGCTTAAAACTTGGGTATTACTCAGTCTGGGGCACTTGATTCAAGCTTGTTTCTCTGTTAAGTTTATGAAAAACCTGATCCAATTAATCTTCCACAGAGCGTGCCTAGAAAGTTCTTGTCCAGACCAGGAAGTGTGCTTCCATAATTTGTTAAATATGTACTGTATGGAAAGCATGTGTGATTTGGATACATGCTTTAAATAAACTTGAATGGACTAACAGAATATCATGATTTGGAGCAAATCATTTTACATTCCTGAATTGTACTTAGGGTATGGCTTATGTTTGAAGAACTTAATTAAGATCAAGTCAGATGTATTTGTGAGTCTGTATGTAGGCTTTGAGAAGGTATAGTGGAATGATTCCTTTACAGATTACTCTAGTCACTCTGAGCTCCCTCCCCCGGTGACTATCTTGATGACACATAGCGCTGAATAGTGTCCATATAGGAACCTTCATGTTCTTAGCAGCTTGTCTTATCAAGGAGTGAAGTTTCCTTCTACGTCCATGTACTTGTTTCTTCTCTGTAGCAACTGTCCATTGGAATTAATAAAAGGGAGATTTTAGAACATTTTTTCGTGCTTTTGAGAGTATGTTAAATTTTCTTATCAAAACAGGAATAAGTCATACAACTTCATAAAACTCAAGCTTTTGTCACAAATATCCCTGTACCTGTGGTCTCTACTTTATTGGGACAACATGAATGTTCCCTTAAAAATCAGTTGAAGCTCCTCATTGTCTTTATTGAACATCGCATTCTGTGTTGCATTTCTCTGCCTTTCAAATAAGTCTTTTGAAATATTGACCTGACTAGTTCAAGGCAAGCAGGATGGTAGTAAAAGAAATCCATGGACTAGTTGATAAAATTAAGATTATGTGTTGGTTTGGATTTTTATTTAAAGCTAATCATTCATACTTTTATAAATTACAGTTGAACTGATTCCTGTTAAAATCAATGAAACTTACATTGTAACTAACTTGTTCCATTGACTTAGTCTCACTAAGTTTAGGAGTACACTGCCATTTGGATTCTTCCCGATCTGTTTTAAATGTACAGTGTTGGCCTTCTGTTGTTTTACCTCTGCAGTAAAGAGCTTGTCTCCAGAACAATCTGTCTGTTGCATTTGATGAGAACCTGGGAGGAGACATTGTAAGCTTTGGATATGTTTTGGTGGAAAGTTTGAATGCCTGGCAGTATGCTTGTCACTGTAATGTTGCCTGTTGGTTCATCCACCACCTGCTAGGTCTCACGGTTTTCTTTTTTGTAATATTTCTCCAGGAGGAGGAGGAACAGGAAGAAGATGATGATGAGGATGAAGATGATACCGATGACCTGGATGAGCTGGATACTGACCAGCTGTTGGAAGCTGATATGGAGGAAGAGGAAAACAACGAGAATGCAGGAGAGGATGGAGAAAATGACTTCTCACCTTCTGATGATGAGGAACTGGCGAACCTGCTGGAAGAGGGAGATGAAGGGGAGGATGAAGATTCTGACGCAGATGAGGAAGTTGAGCTGATTCTTGGTGACAGTAAGTATGGCTCCCAGAAAATAGCTTGTGGAGTAATCTAGACAGATTGTATAAAGAGTAAGACACCCATCCATTTCACAAAAGTGCTCTAAGCATTTTCCTAGATTCCAGTTGTGCCAGCTTCTCTTCTTTCTCTTGGCTTTTCAGCAGTCTCAGAATAAAGGGAAAAGATTTCCCATCATGTGGTTCTGATGCCAAACATTTGCCCAGAGTTTCCAGACCAAACTAATATGACTTATTATAACCTTACAGTTTTATCTCGCAAGACACAAGGTTTTAAGATTTTTTAAAATAGAGAGTTCTTAAAGTTTTGTTGACCCATAAGGTTAATAGTGGTCACAAAAGCATTGCACAGTGAAGTGAGAAAATCTGTTTCCTGGAGGCCTCAAAATTTAGCCATCTCGTTTAGGGCGACTCCACATCTTCATATGACAGACTCAGTTATTATATTAACACAGTTGTTATATAGTATAAAATATTTGCAACATGGACGTTATCTTTAAAAGCAATTGACTGCTGAGTGCTATTGGTCACAACAGGTGGAGGGACCTATAGCACTCAGCATGATGGAGTCTGTCCTCTTTAAGCTGTGTATCTGTGTGAATAACAGTGAGACATATTTCTGGCTAAACATGACATGGGCTCAAACTACAGCCATCTTCAAGGAGAAGAGATCCCCCCCCCCCTTTGCTTTTCAGGAGTTTATTATATTGAGCAGCAAAATTGTGGATGTGCAAACTTACTCATTTCAGATGCTCACAAGAGTTTGATGCTGCCTCAAACAGTGTATATAGCTTTGCTACTTGATCTTGCTTCATTTGGGAATCCAACATTGCTACAGATGTGAAGTGCTTGAGACCTCTGGATTTTCCAGTGGCTCCATCTGAGTGATTCTATTTGTTGCATTCTCTTTCTGAAAGCCCTATTTTGTACAATCTTCTTTATTTATATCCCTTATATCCAGCTTTTTCTCCAAGACTGGGAATCAAGCTAGCTTCTGGGTGAATATATATACTGTACTTGCTTATTGCATTAGGGTACTCAGTGCCATATCTCATTGTGTAATTGTATTTCTTTTTTATGATCTCTATGAATCAATAATTTGGTAATCTGTGCAAGGGCAGAGCACTGTTCGGAATTTTCTAAAATCACTAAGCAAAAAAAGTTTTGGCAGTAACACCTCCCATCATCTTAAGACTATAAAAGGTCCAGTTGCCGAAAAAGTTCATTAGTTCTTTGGACTTTGCCTGTTCTTCTACAATTCGTACTGCTTTATTCTCTGATGAGAACTTTATTTGAACTCTGCATTGTGACAGCTTCTGCTTTCGACTCAGTTTGCTCCATGAGTACGGTGCTTATGGCCTAGTCCAGTGTGGCCTCCACGACTCACTTCAAGAGGTGTGAGCAATGTTCGGGTAAATTCCTCGACATAAACGGGCATTCTAAGTGTCTTCTTTGCTTAGGCACAGGACATTCCATCCACTCATGCATTCATTGCCAGGCCTTTTAAGGTTTTGATATGCTTTAATGATTGTGTGAGGTGAGCTGGAGGTGAACGACGAATCCAATGCTCTAAAGATCAACACACCATAGGAACTTGGAATGTAAGATCTATGAGCCAGGGAAAACTGGATGTTGTTATTGGTGAGATGTCAAGACTAAAGATAGAAATTCTGGGGGTCAGCAAACTGAAATGGACCGGAATGGGCCCCTTCACATCAGATGGCCACCAGATCTACTACTGCGGACAAGAGGAACACCGAAGAAATGGAGTAGCCTTCATAATTAATAAGAAAGTTGCTAAAACCATGCTTGGATACAACCCAAAAAATGACAGAATGATCTCAATTCGAGTGCAAGGAAAGCCTTTCAACATTACAGTGATCCAAATATATGCCCCAACCACAGCTGCTGAAGAAGCGGAAGTAGATCAGTTCTTTGAGGATCTGCAGCACCTACTGGATAATACACCAAAAACAGGCATTATTTTTGTTCCAGGAGACTGGAATGCCAAGGTGGGAAGTCAAATGACAACTGGGATCACAGGCAAGCATGGTCTGGGATAACAAAATGAAGTGGGATGTAGGCTGATAGAATTTTGCCAGGAAAACTCGCTGTGTATAACAAACACTCTCTTCCAACAACCTAAAAGATGGCTCTATGCATGGACTTACCAGATGGTCAACACTGAAATCAGATTGATTACATCCTTTGCAGCCAAAGGTGGCGGACATCCATCCAGTCGGTGAAAACAAGACCTGGGGCTGACTGTAGTTCCGATCACGAACTTCTTATTGATCAATTTAGAATAAAACTAAAGAGATCAGGGAAAATACACAGACCAGTTAGATATGATCTCACTAACATTCCTAGCGAATACGCAGTGGAAGTGTAGACTAGATTTAGTAAACAGAGTCCCAGAAGAACTATGGACAGAAGTCTGCGACATTGTTCAGGAGGCGGCAACAAAGTACGTCCTAAAGAAAAAGAAAACCAAGAAGGAAAAAAGGTTGTCTGCTGAGACACTGGAAGTAGCCCAAGAAAGGAGGAAAGCAAAAGGAAACAGTGATAAGGGGAGATATGCCCAGTTAAATGCGCAATTCCAGAGGTTAGCCAGAAGAGTTAAGGAACTATTTTTAAACAAGCAATGCATGGAAGTGGAAGAACACAACAGAATAGGAAGGACAAGAGACCTCTTCCAAAAAATTAGAAATATTGGAGGTAAATTTCAGGCAAAAATTGGCATGATAAGAAACAAAGATGGTAGGGACCTAACAAAAGCTGAAGAGATCAAGAGAAGGTGGCGAGAATATACAGAAGATCTGTATAGGAAGGATAATAATATCAAGGATAGTTTTGACGGTGTGTTGAATGAATTAGAACCAGACATCCTGAGGAGTGAGGTTGAATGGGCCTTAAGAAGCATTGCTAAAAACAAGGCAGCAGGAGACAACGGGATCCCAGCTGAACTGTTTAAAATCTTGAAAGATGATGCTGTCAAGGTAATGCACACCATATGCCAGCAAATATGGAAAATGCAAGAATGGCCATCAGACTGGAAAAAATCAACTTATATCCCCATACCAAAAAAGGGAAATGCTAAAGACTGTTCAAACTTTTGTACAGTGGCCCTTATTTCTCATGCCAATAAGGTAATGCTCAAGATCCTGCAAGGAAGACTCCAGCAAGAGATGCCAGATGTACAAGCTGGGTTTAGAAAAGGCAGAGAAATGAGAGACCAAATTGCCAATATCCCCTGGATAATGGAGAAAGGCAGGGGGTTTCAGAAAAACATCTATTTCTGTTTCATTAACTCTTCTAAAGCCTTTGACTGTGTGGATCATAATAAATTGTGGCAAGTTCTTGCTATGGGCATACCAAATCACCTTGTCTCTCTCCTGAAATGAAATTAAGGAAATGAACCAACTACAAATTAATACACAAAGGCATGATATGAACTACATACTACTCTCAGATCAGATAGATGTATGAACATCAGACTTTGGGGTGTCTTGGAGATGAATAGAGAATCACACAGAGCTTTGAGAGATGCAATCATCAATTGGATTCAAGAAATAACAAAAGAAACCTGGCAACAATCTTAATTTGATAGAATTAATCGAACTAGCTTCAAAAGATGAATTCTTCTTATTTTTTCCAATAATAAACTCTACATTTTTGTTATTAATGTTTCTTTGATTTTTTTCTAACTGGGATAACAAAAGTTATATTTCTTATTTTTCTTCCATTGCCCCAGTGTTTTTCTCCATTTATCTAGCATTTTCACTCTTGTTAGGTGTCATATTATCTTCCCTCTCTGTCATGTCTGAATCTGTGGTTAAATTTAGTTATCCCAATAATTTCATTCTTTGATCTAATGTTGTTATGTTGTAGTTCTTTCTGGGTTTTCGGAATGTCAAGTAAATAGGGAAACCCCAATTGTATTGTATTCCATTTCTGCGAAGGATTGTGGTATATGGTTGGACCGATATTCTCTAATTAACAAATTTACTGAATGTATTGAATTGTTATCCTGATTGCAAGTTTCTTATATGAATTTATGGGCATGTTTTTGTGATGCTCATTGAGCACTTTATGTGCAGTCACATGTCTGGAAAATGTTGGATGACACTTTTCAAAAGTTGATTTTGTTTAATTCTGCAAAAATATATTCATGCAGACTTCATTGATATTACATTGGAATCAAACTTCATGGTTGTACGCGTGTTGTGTGGTACATTCTAAATTCCTTTGGTGGACTTACTTACATAAGTCTTCTTGTTATGGGTGCAAAATTCATAGTGAATAACTTTTTTGACATGGTACCAAAGGCAATGGTCTGTTGTGTCATGACTTCTGCCTACGATAACTTTTGCTTGCTAGTCACCCAATTGTGTGATTCACAGAGACTACAAAGAAAAAAAAACAGGTTACTTACTTATAACTGTTTTTCTTCGAGTGGTCGTCTGTGAATTCACACAGACACACCCATCCTCCCTACACAAGGGTCATGCCACCTCAGATCTCAATATGGGCTGCAACGGTGGCCTAGGAACTGAGGAGTTTTGGTGGCAACAGGCATTATATAGTTACAGGATGGTGGGATGGGTTCTACCAAAACTTTTCTGCGAAGTGATTCTAGAAGGTTATGACCAGTGCTCTACGCCTGCTCAATTACCCAATTATGTGGCTTCACAGATGACCACTCGAAGAAATACAGTTAGAGGTAAGCAACCTGTCCTTTCAAAGAAATTCAGGACTTGTACAATAATCTGTTATGTCTTGCAGGTCAGTGACAGTCTGCCTTTATAGGAGGGTCATCCATTCTTCCACTTTGGGATATTTTCTATGAAGAAAAAAAAAACCCAACTAAATTGTTCCTAATGAATTCAATTTACAATTGTCTCTCTTTTTTGCTCTCCACCATTTTTTTTTTATCCAGCTATAATTGAATAAGTTGCAGAAGTCCCTCTCAACATGTGTGAGTTTGGTTGGGGTACTGGTTTGACTATGACTCTGGAGACCAGGCCCCAAATCCCCTTTCAACCCTGTAAATGCACTGGGTGGCCATGGACAAGTCACTCACTCTCAACCTTTTGTAGAAAGAAAGAGACAAGTGAATCCAATAAGCATTCAGATAGTGGAAGGGCAGCACAATTAAACCCACATGATACACAGATGAGTCTCCCATCTTCTCAGAGTAGTATAAAGCCAACTGAAGGAAGAGAGAGATCAATCTAAAAAAAAAAACCCATATTAAATCATGTAAAGGATACATATATTGCCATGTTAAAATTTCTGTTATGAGGTACATTGCTCTATACTTGATCTCTTATTTGAAGTTGCTGTGTAATATTAATGTGCATGTAGTTTTACTAGTAACTTCAAGTGTGCTGTTATGATGCTTGCAGAAAATACCCTTCATCTCACCTTCATTGAGCTTCAAGTCCTGGCCATATTGTGTCCCATATTGTGTCCTTCTTTGGAAGCTTTTAAACAGAGGCTGGGTGCTTTGAATGCCATTTCCCTGCTTCTTGGCAAGGGGTTGGACTGGATGACCCATGAGGTCTCTTCCAACTCTATGATTCTATGGAATGAATAATGTATTGTTCTCTCTGTTCTCTGCACTTCATTACCAGATTTCCGGGTTAGTAGTTTTCAAAAACTTTTTTTGTCATGTTCTCCCTTATGTGAGCCTAACTTAATCTGAGATCCCTAGGCAAATCTCCAGTGCGCATGCTCTGCTGTGTTCTTTCAGCTGGCGTTCTGATAGTAATTTGGGACCTGTTTTTCAACAGGCATCTCTTGCGAAAATGTCAGTAAGGACTCAGGAAAAGAAGGGCTCTTTATTAGTATTATTATTTATTTCATTTATATGCTACCTTTCTCTTGAAGTTGGGGCATAAATGGCTCACAAAAGAATAAATTTAAACAATACAAATTTAAAGACATTTAAAAGTTATCACATTAAAACAGTCTAAAATCAATTTTATGATAAGCTTTCCTGTGATCAATTACTCATTAAAAGCCTGCTTAAATGGGATTTTGCCTGCCTTTGAAAGAAAAACAAGGAGGGGGGCAACCTAGCCTCTCAAAGAAGGGACTTCTGTAGGGAGGGAGCAGCCACTGCGAAGGCTCTCTGAGGAGTCCTCACCATGTGAGCCTGTGATGATAGTGGGACTGAGAGAAACCCCTCCCATGGAGACATTAAGGCTCTTTGGAGAGTTCCATTCTGCTTGTTAATGTTTTTATTTCTACACATTTCTTCTCAGAATTACATTGCTGAATAAAAGTCATTGGGAACGGACCCATACATTCTGTGGAAGCAGAGCCTAAATACCAACGAGTATTTCATTACCTTTCTCTTGTGTTTTCTTTTTGTGTGACAGCAATCAGTTTCACAAGTGATGTTTTGAATGCTACATGGCCATAGATTTCATACACAATCCGGTTGTAGTTATCTGCCTGGATTTTCTATATCTAGATAGCAGGTTTTGACATGGCTGTTTTAGTGACAAAGTAGGTGCAGGCAGCTGCTCAAGAACAAAGATATTGGACAAAATCGGCTTTCTAAGTGAGTCTATCTTGTTGCCTATACTGCCTGTTCTGAAATGATAGGATATAACTACAAGACTATTTTCGAGTACTTGGTGTTAAGTGCAGTAAGTCTGCTGTCCTTGGTAGTTATCTCTTGTAGGTGTTAATCAGACAAAATCAAGTACATTTAAATTCCATGCCAGCATAAAGTTGTTTTCCTTGATCCTCTAAGGTAGTGTATACGTGACAAATCACAAACACCATTCTTCTGTATCCTCTCATATTTCAATAGTAACCTTTTGGAGTTGGCCAGAATCCATTTGCCTAAGCAACTTAAACAATTCTTATGCATGTGTAAGAATCAACATTTTATAGTAACTGTCCCCCTCGAATGGAGTATAGCTCTGTGCTCAAAACATAAACAACAATCAAACTTCCTCTGCATTCCCTATTTGCAGGGGCAGGCTCTGTTACAGCACAACCTAGAAATGGGGAAGTAATAAAGTTACTTTTTTCCTCTCCACACACATGGCATCATCAAACCAGTTATTATTGGAACAAAGATGGTAGTGAAAGCTGTCAACCCCATATTGTCTAGTATGAGAAATGGCACCATCTATGAGGAAGAGTTAATGTCTCTGATGTGTCTTGCTTTCCAGGTTATTCAAACAATTACAGATTTCTGGGTTGTTGTAGGTTTTTTCAGGCTATATGGCCATGTTCTAGAGGCATTCTCTCCTGACGTTTCGCCTGCATCTATGGCAAGCATCCTCAGAGGTAGTGAAGCTCAATGAACCTCACTACCTCTGAGGATGCTTGCCATAGATGCAGGCAAAACGTCAGGAGAGAATGCCTCTAGAACATGGCCATGTAGCCCGAAAAAACCTACAACAACCCAGTGATTCTGGCCATGAAAGCCTTCGACAATACATTACAGATTTCACTTCAGAAGTATTACCAGCCTTTTGTTTGTTCAGCTTTATTAGGGTATCAAGTAACACAGGGAGCACCGTTTGATCTTTTTACAGGTTTTGAGATTTCATCTTGTCTCCTTTTTGAATACAATAACTAATCAAGAGTATAGTCTTGTGTCTTTGATGTCTCTTTGGGCCTGTGAATGTGGATAGAAGACAAGTCCCACCTGTCCAATTTTTGCCTGGTTGGTCTTTGCTCAGAGTTCCTAGGTGACCATATTGCTGCTGAAAGTGGTTCTGGCTCTTGGCAGTTACTGTTGGGGTGATGGCACTTGGTTTGGAACAGATTGCCCTATCTGACACCTTTTTGATATGGACGTTTTGCAGTGTTCAGATAACCAATTTGTCCCCTTTCTAGCTGACAGCTCCGATAATTTGGATTTGGAAGATGACATAATCTTATCTCTGAATGAATGAGGAGCAACCATCCCACAGGATGTTGGTGGCGGGAAGGCGCCCGTCTCAGAAGCCAGGAGACCAAATCAGGAGGCGATACTGTGCACCCTCTCAGATTGTAATTCTTGGAAGAACATCTAAAGATCTCCAGCCCTCCCGGTCTAGCAGAAGACAGACAGACTGCTGGCATGGCCAGAGCCTTCCTACAAAGAGACTGGAGGGGTTTAAAGGCCTTTCTTTTTTTTTCTTTTCTGGTTTTTAGGCTGAGACAAGACTCCTCTCCACAGAGATGTCTGAAGATATTTCAATATATTTTCTTTGTATAAAGTTCTTTCCTAAAGAACAGAAATAGTTTTATATGAAACAAAAAAGGATAAAAAACAGGCAAATGTTATAAAGAGGGTATGGATATGTACCCTTCTATTTAGTCGTCATGATAAATTTTGGGGAAAGGAAAAAAGTTTAACAATAACAAAAGGGCATTTTTATTGACAAGTGAAGGGGAGGCAGTGAATCATGGATTGTAAAACTGTGGAGGAGTGATTTTTATTTGGAATATAATTTTGTAATAGAGGTGTTGCTACCTGCTGTGAAATGTTCATTTTTCGTCAGATGCCTTTTTATCAAAAGCCCCACAAGTCTTCCTGCTATAGTTGCCATGCGGGAGGCTGGAGGTCCTGTTCACAACCTGCTGTTGCTGGAAAAGAAGGACTCATTTATAAGTTCCCCTTCATTTCATCCCAGCCTTTTTTGTGATTAAAAAAATCAATCTCATCCCTTTTTTTCTGCCCTGTGTGTGAAAACTGCAAATCGAAGGCCTTTTTCTTTTAATGTAAATTGTATTTATTAAAAAAATAAAATAAAATTCTACTCCAGTCTGTTCATAGCCTTGAGGTACTGTAGCATAATTTGTTGCCTTTGCTTAAGGCTGTCTTTTCTGCCAAGAGATACAACTTGTTCATTTGGGAGTTGCAACTACATTCATCTGAATGTGACAGGAGAAAATGGGAGGGAGGAGGGGGTCACTCCTTAATTTTTGTGTGAACTAACAATTCAAGAATTGGGAAAGTCTTTCCTTCAACTCCCCTTAGAAAATGACTAAAATATATGCACAACGACTATGCAGACGTTATAGCTATGTAAACTTAGATGTCCATAATTAATTAATTTCTCCATCTGTCCTCCCATCTTCTTTAACTAGATTAACTCATATTTCTGCTTAAATATATTTCTGCTCCATTTCAGTTGGTAAGTGCTTTACAAAATCAGGAAGAATCATTACTATTTTGCTTGCATTCAAGACTTGTAGTGAAATTTGTTGGTGAAAACATTTTGTTTATCCCAGGATCGTCCTGCATCAAAACCTGTCCTTTTCCTATTTCAGTTTTTAAAATAAATGAAACAAATCCAATTGTGTATTTATAAATTACCTGCCCTAACAGTGTTGGTAAAGAATTATTGAAATCTAGCCAAAACACGGCTTTTCTTGTAGTTGTTCTTGGTATTTCTTCCAAGTGCAAACCTTTTCACAAAATGGATTTAAAGCTATTCAGAAGCAAGCAAAATCTGTTCCTTTATAAATTGCTAGAGGCATTCAGAAATATCTTCCGAATCCTTTTGTGTGGCTTTTTGTTAGTTTAACCTGTGACTGATCCTCCCTAATATGCCAGCACATTGAATGAAAATCTAATAGGATGAGATTTGATAGAATCTTCTATGAAGTACATTCTTATCCCCCTTAGAAATTTATATTTTGAGAAGCCCCCATTATTGCAATTTTTAACCCATTGTGAATCAGAATGTAGACGAAAATGAAGTGTGACAGCTTTTACTAAAATCTGGCAAGTTAATCTGTCTATCATTTAAATTCTAAACTAGTTGTTGTGAGAGAGACCTAAGCCTTTCAGAATAGAAATTCCAGCCTTAACTTTGTTTAGGATGTGGACAAACAATGCAAGAGGTTTTTCAGCAAACTGTTTTGAACATGGCTTTTTTCAGAAATTGTACTTTGCAGGTGAGTTAAAGTCTGAATGTCCGCCACCCTAACTTCACTGCACAAGAACAGAATTTAGTTCCTTAAAACAAATGGAGCAGTGATGGTAATTATCTCGGGAGCCAGACTGGGGCTTTACAGGCTTGATAGCATCCTGTATAGTTCATGTCACTGCTGCAGGGGCTGCTAACATGTAAACAAATAGATTTTTCTACTATCCAACCTACACATTCTTTGCAAAATGTTGCAAACTCCTTGAAAAGCAAGCTTAGAAAGAGAATTATGCAAGCTAAGTGAATATGCATACATCTATTTATTAGTTGCATAACTTAGACACAAGTGGAGTTATTCTAGTGTAAAATGTGGGATGATTTTACCACAGGATACACACGCTCCACCTAATATTTTACAATCCACACTTCATTCTTTTTTTTACCTGAGGGCCACTTCACAAAACAATAGCCTACATACATAGCCATGTCTGACAGAAGTATATTCTGCTGGTAAGCACTTGCATGAATCCCCTGCTAGCTGTGATTCCCAGTATGTGGTAAATTAGATAATGTGCTTTTATTGCACTTGATATTATGCATATTTTTGTACTGAGGTGGCTATGTCATCACGTTATATCCAGCAAGAATCCCAGAACAGTGAGCATGTGAACATCACGTGTAAGACAGCCACTTTCTGCCCCAGAATGATTTTGTCTACCTGTCTAAACCCACTGTGTATTACAAGAAGGGGAAACTGCATTATTATCTATAGTATAATACACACACTATAAACAATATTTTCCTCTTTATTTTTGTGATGAAGGAACTGAACAACATAATCATTTAGGTGTTGTTATCAGGTCCTACTCAAGTGCCTGGTTATTTGTCTTCCTGAGAAGCCCATCGCTATTAACAAGAAATCTTAAGAACGGCTTTGAATTTGCAATATAATCCATCCAACAGGAAACACAGGAAGAGGAGGGGAAAACCTAAGGTGCCTTGCATCTTAATGCATTAAGAGGTGCTAGGGATTGGACTAAACATTTACGCTTCACAGGGCTGTTCTTTGGTTAAGACCACCTTAAATGTTCTCACCCACCACAAAAAGGCTGGTCTAATTGAGGCTACATCACCTCATTAAAAAAAAATAACCTGGTATTAACTACTGAGGAAAGAAGCAACCAGGCTTCAACTTTCAGAGAAGAAGAAAAAAAAAGCTGGCATGATGTTGAATAGTTGAAAGGAAGGGTCTTACAAACTGTAGGGGCAGTAGCTACTAGCTGCATCTACTGGAGCTCAGAGCCGGCCTGGCAGACTACAGAAACCAGGACACTGCACAAAGTTAAAAATTCATCAGTGAACAAGGCTTTACTGACAACTTTCCATACATTAAAAAAAATAAGAACACAGCAGACAGTGTCACATATTAAAAACAAATGGGATTCATTAAGTGGATATTAAAATTAATTCAAAGCTAATAAAACTGTAGATTTCTGTTGGGAGGACTTTTGGGGCCTCACTCAAAATAATTGGCCTTCAAAGGAACCAGGCTGTGTGAGATAAAGAAACATGGAATCAGAGAAAGGAGAAAGAAAGGAGATAAAAGAGAGTAAATACTAGGCAGTGTCTTTGACTATCACTATCACCATATGTTCTTCTTCTAACTTTCCCAATGTTCTTAGTGCGGACTGGAGGTACTGCTGGGAGAATTTGCAAGGAGGGAAAGCGTAAAGCATGCCTGTGCTGTCTCTGCCCTTGGCCCCTCCCACAGGAAGGCTGATAACCCCAGCAGCCTGTTTCTGTTTCAAGTAAGAGACCAGATTCCTGAGAAGCCGCCTTTGCAAGCTGGGCTCCACGGCAGGGAAGGTCCCTTCAGCACTTGCTCCTGGAGTAGCTTGGGTGGCCAGCAGCACAGCGTAGCCATTGGGGCTTCCTTGCTTGATGCGTCGAGTTACTTCATCGAGTTTGGGCTGATCAAGCCGAAGTCTCTGAGCAATCTTGAGCTGGGTCAGCTTTCCCCCAGACAAGTGGTCTTTCAGGAGCCCATTAATGACCCCCAAGTCCCCTTCAAGGATGTGCATAGATGTAGGGAAACAGCTATTCTTCAGGACAAGTAGCCCATGCCAGGCAAGCTGCAGAGTGTGGGCATAATCTGACAAGCTTTTTAGTTTCTTGGTTTCCAATTTGGACTCTTCGTGAGTCTTTGATTCAGACTCACCAGTTCGATGATTGCGTTCATTGTCCCTTTTCTTAGGCTGAGGATCAGACATTTCGCGATGAGGCTTCTCCTCTGCTGTGTGTCGGTTGTTCTGGAGGGAGTTATTCTGCTCTTTCTCTGTTGTGGCCTCAGTCGCGTGGTTCTCCTTCCGCACCCGATCTGGACTGCGGTCAACAGCTGTCCCTCCAGGCTTTGTCCTGCTTCGGTCCTCATAAGGCGAGTGAGTGGCTCTCCCACGTTCGCTGGAAAGGCTGCGCCGTTTGCGCCTTTCCTCCCAAGGCTTAAGCATGCTGCGGTCGCCATCATTGCCCCAACGTTCTCCGCTCCGGCTCCGTGCTGACCGGCTGTAGGCCTCCAAATTATTTCTACGCTCTGCATTTTTGACAGGACTAGCCCAATCTGCCTCCAGAAAGCTCCTTTCTCTGTCAGAGTAGAGAAGATGAGGAGGAGTCCTGTCCCTCACCCTTAAGTCTTGCTCTAGGCTTCTGTGTCTGCTATAGGCCTCAGGGAGCAACTCATAGTGCACTGGCAGCGGGGCGGGCGGATACGGCTGAGGGTAGCGCACCTCCTCGGCTTTGGCAAAGTCCACTCGCAGTCTCCGGTCAGGCCCGCCCAACGGGAAGCCCCTCATCTGCGCACAGGCCGCCTGGGCAGCATCCAAACTTTCGTACTGAATGTAAGCAAAACTGTCCCCCTTCACGTAGTCAATCGTCCTAATGCTCCCAAAGCGGTCAAACTCCCTTGCCAAGGCAGCCAGGGAAGTACTCGGACCGAGGCCGCCCACCCAGAGCCTGGTGGTGGGGTTGGCTTTGCCGTAGCCGATCTTGATGGGGTTCCTGCCGACCACTCGGCCAGACATGGCCACCTTGGCCCGGTGTGCCATGTCCAGGTTCTGGAACTTGAGGAAAGCATAGGCGCCCCCTTGGCCCCGGGCTGGGCGCTTGATGACCACTTCCTCGATGATGCCATACTTCTCGAAGGCCCGCCTCAGCTCCGCCTCGGAAACACTGTGGTCCAGGTTACCGATGAAGAGGTTCCGAGTGGCCCTCTGGTCATCTTCTGGCATCAACTCCTCCTCGGCTGCAGCCACAGCTGCTGCGGGGTATCCATAGGGCCGGCCCCGCTCGTCGTACAGGCCGTAGTAGTCCAGCACCCGCTCTCGCTCCCGTGACAGGCCTAGGGCCACGGCCTCTAGGGCAAAAGCGGCAGCAGCAGCGGCCTGTGCATGGCGCGGGGGGCGGGGCTCCCGGAGGAGGGGCCCGGCCACAGGAGAGAGCGAGCGCTGCTTGTAGGGGAAGACCCCCCCGTGGAGCGGGGGCAGGAAGGCCAGGGGCTCTGGAGAGGGGGTGGGCGGTGGGGTGCGGCTCCTCCTCCCGCCGCCCCGCAGATATACGGGCTCCACCTTGAGGGGCCGGTCAAAAAGCAGGAGCTGGCGGGCGCGTGCATGCCGCCGGGCATCCCTGGCATCAGACGGGTGCCGGAAGTTGACGTAGGCCACGCGCCCCAGTTCTGGGGTGTGGGAGAGCTTGACGCTGATGTCGCTGGCCCCACCGCTGGCAAAGCGCTGGAACTGGCGGAAGAGGCCCTCCTCCAGGAGCTGGTCGGGCAGGGCGGGGCTCAGGCCGCTGACCAGCAGGGTCTTGTACTCGCTGCTGGCCCCCGGGGGCTCCACCGCCAGGCCCGCCAGGCCCGCCGCCGAGAGGCCCAGGCCCGGGGCTAGGAGCAGCGAGGGCGCCGCCACCGGGGGCGGAGCCGGGACGCCCAGCAGCAGCGAGGGCGCCACCACCGGGGCCGCGGGCAGCGCTTTGGCCTTGGGCAGCAGCCGCGAAGAGGAGGCCAGCGAGGGCAGGGAGGCCGCCACCGAGGAGGAGGAAGAGGAGGGGTTGGCGGCTTGGCTGCTGCTGCTCCTGGCGGCGGAGGACGAGGACAAGGAGGAGACGGCGGCGGCGGCGCGGTGGTTGGCCTCTCCGCCGGGCCCGGGCCGCTCCTCCCCGCGGTGGCTGCGCGAGCTGGAGCCGGAGCCGCCCGCCGAGGGCTTGTCCCGGCTGCTGCGCGACGAGGAGGACGAGGAGGAGGCGGCCGAGCTGCGGTGCGGGCCCCGCCGGCTACTGCTGCTCCCTCCGCCGCCGCCGCCCCCCGCGCTGCCGCTCTCCCGCTCGCGAGGCCTCTTGGCCGAGGAAGAGGAGGCCCCCCGCGTGGAGCCGGACCCGGCCGGGCTGGAATCCCGCTCGCTCGCCCGCTTCATGGCTCCGGGCCCGCGGCTCAAGAGGCGCCTCCGGCACCAGCTGCCATCTTGGACAAAAGGGAGCGAACGAAGGCGGCTCTGCCCAGTTGCCGCGCCGTACGCGCCTCTCGCGTCATCACCCCGCGCCGCCGATGACGAGGAGAGAGAGGGAGGGAGGGGGCGAGGGAGGGAGGGGGCGAGAGGAAGGCGGCGGTGCGACGCAAGGGCTTCGGCCACGCCAAGTCCCTCCACGCCTCCCCCCTCCCCTCAGCAGACGGGTGCGGGAGGAGGACAAAAACCCTCTCCCTGCGCGCCCCTGGACTTTCAGGCCAGTCCCAGGTGGGCGGAGGCGCCTCTTTTCCCGCCTCAAAGCTCGCGGACAGGAAGTGGCAGACGGAGGGCGGAAGGGGTCAATTCGGAAGGGAGGCGAGGCCCACACCCCAGCCCCGTGCGCCCCTCTCCGGCCTCGCGAGACTTCAGCGCGTCCTCCCGCTCCTTACGTTTGCGATTGGCTGAGGCTTCGGCGAGGATTCCCTCAGAGGCGCCGCAGTTGCCTCCAGAGAGAACGGCAATGCTTTGCGTCCCTTGACGGGTGCCTGGGACAAAACGAGGAGGGCAAGGAGGGAAGGGATAGCGCGCCTGCCGCCGGCCCACGTTTCCAGCCTGCCGAGGTGCAGGTCAGAGGAAACGCCGCGTTTAGGCCGCATTACAGGCAGTCCCAAACATCCGAACTACCAACGACTCAGTTACGAACGGGATGAGACGACAGGAAGTGAGGGAAGTTCACCCCTGAAGAGAGATCATGGGGGAAAGTGTCTCAATTGACTCTCCCCCTCCAATCCTTATTTCCACAAGCCAAAATTGACACAATCCTATTATTCCCGGGACAGAAAGTGAGGGAAAATCTTAACAAAACAAACACCACAGAGGTCTTAACCCTTCCATATGCTATCCAAAGTTTGTGTGTGTGTATGTGTGTGTATATACACACACACACACCCTCCCTCTACCCCGGACTGACACAAAAGAACGTGGCTGTTCCTACTGACATACAAATTCGACTTAAGAACAAGCCTGAAGAACCTACGGTTTGTAACTTGGGGACTGCCTGTATTATTACTCAGCCAGTGTAGAGGCACACATCATTAGGTTTTTAGCCCTAAAGATTTTTAAAAAGACCAAATGACTACAGATCTGGAGGGCTTTGATACCTTTGTTGCATTGTGCAGGAGGTACAATTTCAGCCAGTGTTGCTCCTCATATAAGCAGGTAGCACTGGCCAAAATGACCTATTCCATCACCAATGCCACAGGAGCGTTCCCAATTTTTCTCCAAATAATGTGTGTAATACTGAGGATAGCTTAGGCCATAATAAATGCAAGAAGAAATAGGGAGCTTGGGAGTGTCACAGTGTCAGCCGAGGTAATGCCCACTGGACAGAAAGGAGGTGGAACATGTTTTAGTCCCATATACAGGGATATTCCCCAATCAGATCCATGTTTAAAAATAGGGACACGTTTCTATTTGTGCAGTAGCTTAATAATCCTAGTCTCTCTTTTGCTAACTTTCACAGAACCTCCTTGATGATTCATCATTTTGACATTTCTGTTATGTTGTTAGAAGAGTCATAAAGCATTTGTTAAAGCAGTCCATACTCAACAGCAATCTTCTGCTTCTCTAAGCCACACTGGAAATGCACATAGAATTACTGCTTCATTTATTCAAAAATGTGCTCAGAACAGCTTTGACTTTGCAAAGGACAACCTGGCTTACAATTAACCCTAAGATTCTGGATTTACACACATGCAAGATTCCCTTACTTTCCATATACTGGAACAGGTGTGGGCACATGCAAATGAAGCATGTTCCACACCAACTATTAAATAATGATACAGGCTCGTATATCAAAGCACAACTGGGTCTTGTACTCAAAACTGATAATAGCAAGTAATGTCACTGTCAAGATGAAGTAACATAGGTTTGGGTTGCTGTGAGTTTTTCAAGCTGTACAGCCATTTTTCAGCAGCATTCTCTCCTAACATTTCACCTGCATCTGTGGCTGGCATCTTCAAAAGTTCTGAAGATGCCAGCCTGTGCAGATATGATTCCAGCCATGAAAGCCTTTGACAATGTAGGTTTCCAAAGAACAGGTAATTATGACAGACTTTTTGAGTGCCCAGTACTCACACACTCAAGGGTGTGGAAGCTGCAGTGGATATGACTATGATGCATTCTTGATATAAGGAGTGCTTAGTGTTAATTCTTATCTGAGAACATGCTTGGAGGAAAGCTCCCCATTCTTCTGTGGAGGAGCTTCATCTTCACTGGCAATGGTAAATCTAGAACTAAAGTGAGTAAGAACAAATAAACAGAAATGGTGCCAACTAGCTTGGCTGCTATCTTTATTTTTTTTACTTTGGATAGTGCCAGTTAGCATTATCTAAGATTATGCTACTATCCAGGTCAAAGGTAGGAACATTTATCTTCAAAACACATGGCCCAGGCCACCTGCCTGTGGAGCAGCATTGTGTAAATTTCAAACTTTTTGTACATATGATAAACCAATACCCTTACAAGTGCTATGTTTGCCTACTAATGTGTTAAGGTAAAACTAGGAATGTTGTCATGGACACACACATAAACATCACTACCAAACCGTCCCAAATACTTAGCCCTAATCCTGATATTTAGTGCAAAGTATTATAATCATATTGAATAGAACATGGTTGGTCTCTTATGCATCCTTGGTGTTCAACGTATAATAGTACAGAATGCTGCCCTGCTCTTCCCCCACCCCCAAATATTCAGAGATTATAACTTACACAAATTTCATGTCAGTTTTGCAGTACACATGAACAGGCAAGCACCAGTATTGAGTTGTTTCACAGACCATCACTAATACAGCAATTAAAAATGCTGGAAAGTTATCCAACTTGCTTGCATTAAATGTCAAACTAAATCTGCAGATGGACCTCATTTGCCACTGAACCTCTACTCACTTCTCTTAAATCAGATGACACTGGATTTCATAAAGTTTATTTTAAAAATCCCATAAGTCCATTTTTAACATAAATCAGACAAGAGAAATAATAACTTGAGACATAACAAGGCAGTTGAACCAACACTGAAAAAAATGCTCGCTCCGATTTGACAGTTGAAACCCAGTTAAATAAGTTACAAAAACAGCTGTCCAGGAAAAAAAAAAAGAAAGTTTAACATAGTTTGTGTGTGACTTGCTAATAATGTGCTAGAGGTCACTTTGATGGTCAGAGATCTGTCCGGGAACTGGCTGCTTTAGGTGCATATTTAGGCATCAGTTCATTGATTTTCCGAATGTAGTCTGATTTTTCTGCACAGCCTTTGCATGTTTCACCCCAATCATCCAAGATCTTCTTCAGTTCTTTAACTCGAAGCTTCTTCAGGTCCACAGTACTCAGATCAATTTGTTTATCTGATGAAAAATTAGGACATGTTACTGTATGAAGAGTTAGCAGAGGACTGCTTTCAGATTTCCAGGTCTCTATAAATTATTACTCAGAGGAAATACCACAAACCGTCATTTCCCCTAGACGTATAGGAAAATCATTTCCTCTAGATGTATAGGAGTTTATTGGTTTTGTTTTAATACAGTTGATTGTTATATATTTTAATTGTATTACTTTGAAATCTTGTTTATATTGGGCTTGGTTGCCATGTAAGCTGCCCCAAGTCCCTTCGGTGATTGAAGGCGGGACATTAGACTATAGTTACTATCATTATTATTATCTTTCTTTGTTCCACCCCTAAAAAAGGTAATGGAAAAACAAAGTTTGTTCTGGGGAACTCCCAATTTCAGAATATTTAAAAATGAAGATGTAGAAGCAGGAATTTTTTCTAAAACAATTTTATGTTGAAGAGAAAAGGCTTCATTTTTTTCCACACAGTACTACAATCTGCTTCAAAGATATTTATTCCATTTGTATTTTAGCAATTCAGTAATCAAGTACCCTTGAGCTAACCAGCCTGCTATGTAACATTTCTGAGAAAGGATTATGCTTTCACTTGTTTTATGTTTCAGTTAGTAAGAATCAAACCCCACTATGTATTGTTACGACTTTGTTACACTTCTACATAGAGGTAAAATGGCATTAAGAATAGTTATTAATTTCTGGTAAAGATTCTGCATGTTGCCTTGAAGCTGTGATACCCCTGGAGGGCCAACAAGACAGGAGAGTCAAGCAACCTTCATCCAGCTGCTGCTGCTCCTGGTTGTGCTCTATCTATGGAATTGTAGGGGGAAATTGGCTACTTCTTAGCAGAGCCAGGCCCACTACCAGCCCTGACTCAGCAGACTTGTCAGCTGGTTCTCTACTCCAACTGGAGTAGAGATGGCAAATAAAAGCAGGAATGCATTGACAGTAACTCAACTTCTAAAGGGGTTCAGCATAAAGAGGACCTTTTCTTTATGTTATCACACTCAGATACATCTGTTGGGAAACCCCAATAGGCCCTTCACAGTGGCTGCCCCCAGATTCTGCAATTCCTTTCCAAGAGACATCAGATTGTCACCTTCCCTCCTTTGTGTTGACAGACAAGTTAATTTTTTGTTTAGTCAGGCATTTGATGATTGACTAGGGCCCTTACCACCAAAATAATGTGCTTAAGTCCACATGCATGTTGTAGGATATCTTTTTAAAATCTACTTATAATTGTTTTATTGTTTACATTTTATATCTTGCAGAATTTAAATCAGTGGTTCTCAACCTGTGGATCCCCAGATGTTTTGGCATTCAACTCCCAGAAATCCTAACAGTTGCTAAACTGGCTAGGATATCTGGGAGTTGTAGGCCAAAACACCTGAGGACCCACAGGTTGAGAACAACTGATTTAAATAGTTTTTTTTAAAAAAAATGTTGCCAACCTCTCTAAGACCTAAACTGGAAAAGGGCAAGAAATAATCTAATGCAGTAGTTCTCTATATGTGGGTCCCCAGATATTTTGGCCCACAACTCACAGAAATCCTATGAGCTGGTAAAGTGGCTGGGATTTCTGGGAGGTGTAGGCCAAAAATCTCAGATTGAGAACCACTGATTTAATGTAACAATAATACTGAAAATGATGTTGGACTGACCAGGATTTCGGCTCCTTTTTTCTTAATCAATTTGCTAACCGACTTACCATATTTTAGCTCGCA